CCAGATCAAATGATTGCACCAAAACAGCCTCCTCCACCCGCCCTGCCTGCTGCAACATCTCCCCAGTCGGCCCTGGAACAGAGGTTCACAAATCAAATGATGGTTACACCAGTACTCATTTGAATGCAATACATGCCGGCTGAAACAGAAAAGGCTGGTCCAGAGTCATGGATGCATACCGTAGATGCATTGATCCAACGGCAGAGAACGAGCATGAGAGGAACGAGGGAGGCAGGCATCAGGAACACCGACCAGCGACGAAGGAGGAGCCGTAGAAAGTAATCGTGCTGGGGCCGCGCTCGGTTGAAATGGTCTCCGTGCCAATGCGGTTGGATGCAATGACAGGCATCTGTGACCGACCAGCACAGAGGATCCACACAGATGAGGAGTGGGGAGTGGGGTGGGGACGAGAACAGAAGGAAGGAAGGGTCGTATGGTATTCCCGGCGCATCTCATCGGCGGCTGGACAGATGTCATCGTGCACGTCCGTGAGAGAGAGGAAGGGAGAGACAGAGAGAGAGGGAGAAGAGGGCAGCAGCGGGACTAAGAACTCTGGTTCTGCGCATCGCACGCAGGCAGGCATGGGAATGATCTCGCAGCGTCACAAATCAGCTCAATCTCTGCATCTGATTCCAAGGAGAGAAGCACTGACTGACCAGGTTGGCAGCAGCGTGGCCGCGCATGACAGTGCTCCAATGTGGCTGCGAGTCAATGGAGGCATCTTGAGGCTCCGAGCCTATGGCTGTGGGGTACAGCAGCAGCTCTGCTCCCTTGAGCGCCATCACCCGCGCTGCCTCCGGGAACCACTGGTCCCAGCAGATGCCTTGGTGTGGGAACAGGGAGGGGATTGGGTGGGGGGGGACTATTTTGAGGCGCCTCAGCAGCCGTTGTCATTTGAGAGCCATCACCCGCGCTGCCTCAGGGAACCACTGGTCCCAGCAGATGCCTTGGTGTGGGTGCAGGGTGGGGATTGAGAATGGAGAAGGGTGTTGGGAAGATCGGAAGGGAGGGCTGGTTGGAATGGGAGAGGATGGACGGGATTTGAGAGACGGATTAGAATGTGAGAGATGGGTTGGAATGGGGGAGAGGGGTTCGGAATGGGAAAGAGGGGTTCGGAATGGGAGAGAGGGGTTCGGAATGGGAAAGAGGGGTTCGGAATGGGAGAGAGGGGTTCGGAATGGGAAAGAGGGGTTCAGAATGGGAAAGAGGGGTTCGGAATGGGAGAGAGGGGTTCGGAATGGGAGAGAGGGGTTGGAATGGGAGAGAGAGGTTCGGAATGGGAAAGAGGGGATTGAAATGAGTGGGGGGGATCGGCAAGACTGTAATGAGAAGAAGTGTACGTAGCAGCTTTGAGCAACGGGAAAGACGAGAGCAGTGGTACTAGGAATAAGCTGCTCTCGAATTCTCGTTGTTCCGGTGCAGATGGGGGTATACATACATATTGTGAGGCGCCTCATGAATAGGACAAGAGCAGTTGGAGAGGAACAAAGATACATAGTTACATATACACATGCATACACACATACATACCACAGCCAATGGCAGCGTAGCGTGTCTTGAACACCTGCGTTGGGCAACAGGCAGATGGAAGTCAGAGGGGAAAAAAAGAGTGCAGGATTGAGATAAGATCAAGAAACCAAGCGCAGGGGAAGACGGTGAGAACTGCTGGGGCTGCGATTTGCACTTGGAGTCTTACACAGTGACTGATGCTACGGTGTCGCTATGAGTAAACGGCTGTTTTGTGCAGCCTGATTGCCTGCTGCCTAGACCCGGTGGTGCTGACCAGTGTGGTGCTGCTGACTATTGTAATCCACGTCTCACCTTGAAACCCGAGTCCCCTGGTGAGAAGTAGAACTTCTCTTGGTACCCTGCACACACAAAGGACGGACGGATGGATGGATGGAGCGGAACATGGGCACAGGCGAGGTGACTGGAGGGGCAACGGCAGCAGCTCTAGAGGCAAATTGCTCAGGGTGCAATGAACCATGTGCTTGCGTGGGTGCGTGCGTGCATGCGTGGGTGCGAGCGTGCATGGGTGGGGAGAGCACGCACCGGGTCCATCTGGTATGTGTGACTTGCGGTACAGTCCAAGGTCCTTGCCATCAGCATCAATCACCACCAGCGAATTGAAATGCGCCACACCGCCACCACCACCACCACCACCACCGGAAACACCGCCGCCACCACCAGCACTGTTCTCCGGCTCCCCTCCACTGCGCTCAAAGAAGCTCACAGGCAGCACCACCTGCAGCTCTGCTGCAAGCTGCTGCATCCTAGACTTGAGCGGGACCCAGCAAGCGGGAGGGGACCACCCAGGGAGAAGTGGTGAACGGGAGTATGGGTTGAGAAAGCGGTTGAGAATGCCAGCTGCACGGGTAGTGGCTTGGGCAATACGGAACATAGGAGAATGGAGGGACTTTAAAGTGCCTGCCCATGTTCAGGCATTCCCTGCAGCCTCGCCTGCCTTAGTGCCTGCCAGCCTCGCCTGCCTTAGTCACCAAAGAAAGTGTGCTGCTACACCAACTACCATACCTCCCGCTGCATTCATCTCGACCTCAAAACAACAGCGAAACGTCGGCACAGTTCCCTCAGCTACACACCTGAGCACCGCAATAGGTCCGTCCGTTCGTTATGCCAGGCAATTACCTAGTAATGGCAGGGTGGTTGTGGCGGGGCCGGGCTCGCTGGAAGTTGGTAGCACACTGCGCCTGGCAGAAGTAGAACCCGGAAAAGAGCTCCTGGAGAGGGGGGGGAGAAGCGGGGGGCCGGGGGGGCAGGGGAGGAGAGGGGGGAAGGGGTGGGGGGATGAAAAAGAACGAAGGGAGTAGCGGTGGGAGGAAAGGATCTGGAAAAAGAAGGAAGTGCTTTCGGTGAAGAGGATAGTGGGAAGGCCAACTGCTTCTGCTGCTTGCATGCCTACACAACACACGCTTGCCTTGCCTGTCCACACACACTTGCCTGCTCACACATACTAACATGATCATATACTCACGCAGCCCCAGCATACCTTCAGCAGGATGATGTTAGCACCACGTGCATGGGCTTCACGTATCATACGATTTTTGAGTCGACTCAAGAGTGCGTGTACTGCTGCCTGTGCACACATACATGCATGACTCACATACTCGCCTGTCAATACAACTCCCGCGTCCCCAGGATACCTGCAGTAGGATGATGTTGGCGCCACGCGCATGGGCTTCACGGATCAGCCTGGGAGAAGAGAACCCGCGGAGGGAGGCGGCGGAGGCGGGAAATGGAGGACACGGCGTGAGGACAAGCACGCGAGGCGAAGCAGCAAGTGACGTAGAGAGGGAAGAAAACAGGAAGAAAGGAGAGTGCAGGAGTTGTGGCAAGAGGAAGGGGAGGGGGAGGCGGAGGCAAAGAGGATCAAAGGAGAGGAGAGGAGGAGAGGAGGAGAGGAGGAGAGGAGGATAGGACGGGAGGAGGAGCGGGCTAGGGATCCTGACCTCTCCGCGGTCTGCAGATTCTGAGTCTCATCGTCCGTGCAGGCGAACTGAACGGCAGCCACGGTGACACTGCGAGGCATGTGGACTTCCTCGAAAAGGCCTCGCAAATTCGTTGAACTTCGCTGAGATGTGGCGCGTGTAGCAGGGCGTGCTAGTCACCCACCGAGAAAGCCTCGCGAAAATATTGTCAATCGCCGTCCGACAGACGTGTTTGGGAAATGGATCGGCGCGGCGGCTGCGATGAGGCTGGAAATTAGTGACCAAAAAGCAAGCCTTAGTTCGGAGGTGGATCAACTCAGGGGTACACCTGGTCCGCGGTAAATTAACCGCGCGAACGTTTTTTTTCCAGCCCCCCTTTGTGCGTTTCTGTCTAATTCGACGGTCACTCAGAGACTGCAGGGCTACAAGTAAACAGCCAGGATTCATTTCTGTCTAGCGCTCTCGTACTTAGTGATCAGTGATAAGGGCGAGATTGGTTTTAAAGCGACGGTGCACATTTGCCACCCGAAACCCAAAACCCTGGCGAACTGTTACTGCGGAGGAAAAGTGTCCGCACGAAATCCAGGTTTTCGTTAGCCAACACTTTCGCGCTGGCAAGCCTGGTTCAAAACAAAAACTTCTGAACCCCCGCTTGTCAAATCTAGACCCTCGTTTTAAACCAAGTTTCGGCTTTCCTGGCAAGTGAGGGTAGTCATGCTTTTACCTCCTCTGAATCCGAAACTACCTTTCAAAACTAGCTTGACCGAGGAAAAGTATACCATGTGGTAAAGATACTGCCGGTGAATTTACCGCGGACGAGGTGTAGTAGCATTGAACCATGATAACACTCTACCGTTTTGAACCATAACGCACCAGATACAAATGCGGTAGCAAGAGCCAACGCCAACTTTGTGACACATTGTCCCGCTTTCTGTATTAGACGAACTCTGCGTCACATATCTCATCTACCTGTTTTCCTATCTTAGGACATAGTTTTGGCCCTTCATGATCAACAAACATACACCTTAAATAACTGAAAGGAACGACAAACATTGATTTTTTTCTTCTTTAGTTTCTGAAACATAGAGAAATCTGGGGGCTGTAAACGATAATAACGTATCTGTGGTAAGGATTTTTTAGAAGCCTTCATTATAAGCAGCTGATGCATATAAAGGTAGGTGTTTTGAATGAGAACTCGGAAAATAAATTTCGATATAGTTGCGTGAATGGGAGCCCTTCCAAGTACTTCTCGAAAACAAGAAACGAAGGGATTGGTGGGGACGGTGCGCCTGATTCGTTCAGCGAATTTCGCATTGGCGGCGAGATCCGTGCTCCGGATAAGGCAGTGTCGAATCAGCACAATGACCAGACCACCCCCAATGAACATGCAAGGTGAGGAAATCTTCCGCCAGTGATTCCCCTCCCCAAGCACCGGTTCCTCCCCCCTCCAAACAGGGTCACTCAATATACACACAGAGCACCAAGTGCTAAGGAAGGAGTTCTCTAACAGGACCACAGGAATCCAGTACCAGCAACTTCACTCCTTCTGCAGCCATGGCCGCCGCCGTTGCCAGCCGTGCTATCCTCGCTGCCCCTGCTGCCTTGACCAAGGCGCAGACCAAGAGGGCCTTCTTCGGCAACGTTGCTGGTTTGGCACCCGTTGCCCGCCGCGCCGCCCCCGTGGTGAGGTCCCTGGCCGTCAAGGCTGAGACCAACTACCAGGTCATTGAGCCCCTCAATGGCGACCCCTTCGTCGGTGGCCTCGAGACCCCCGTGACCTCGGCTCCCCTGGTCGCCTGGTTCCTGTCCAACCTCCCCGGCTACCGCACTGGTGTGAACCCCCTCCTCCGCGGTGTTGAGGTCGGCCTTGCCCACGGCTACCTCCTCGTCGGCCCCTTCGTCTGCGTAAGTTAGCATAGTCTTTTTTTTTTTAGCGAGCGCTCGTATTCTACTCTAATCTCTGTTAATTCCGTGTCCACGTGCAGACTGGTCCTCTTCGCGGCACCGAGGTTGGCCAAGTCGCCGGCACCCTCGGGGCTGCTGCTCTTGTCGCCATCCTGTCCATGTGCCTGACAGTGTACGGCATTGCCTCGTTCAAGGAGGGTGCTCCCTCCACCGGCTCCACTCTGACCCTCAGCGGCCGCACGAAGGAGGCTGACAAGCTCCAGGTGAGTCACTTTCCTTATGTTCAATATGCCTTAACGTACTTGATAAATAACTTAACCCTGATCGTTTGTATGTGCAGACTGCTGACGGCTGGGCTTCGTTCGCTGGCGGCTTCTTCTTCGGTGGCCTGTCTGGTGTTGCCTGGGCATACATCCTGCTCTACGTTCTGGACCTGCCCTACCCCGTCAAGTAAATGATGTAGTGTTCTGCAACTTACTGTGTATTTACGGAAGGGTAATCCATTGTAACCTATGCCAACTTGAACCCTCAAACAAATTGCAACCTACCAAACCAACATACAGCGTGTTCTGATCAACTGTTACGGGTGAACTGTTGAGCGCTCCTTAGCAGACGTATTAAATTCCAAGATAGAAATATCAGGAAAGCGGGGTGTTATGTTTGAAGGTAATAAGCTCCTGTACTTATCCTGGTCATGTATCTTATTACATCATCCGGCCCAACCTTATGGAGATCTGGAGGTGAGTGATTTATCGTGTTTGTGGCTGATACAGTTATGAAGCCGTGTTATAGTGGTACACCGCATCTGCACATTTTGGTAAGGGCGACGTCAGGTTGTACAACCTCCTGTACGCCTTCTGCGGTTAACTTTGTTTCAACACGGTGCAGAGCGTTACGAGGCGAGAACCGCTTTTCACCGTGCTGGACCATCCTGAACCACAGAACAAGAACTGTAAACGCATGAGAATTGTATAACCTGACTTCACCCTAAACACATGTGGTTACCAGCACCTGTGGTTCTGTTGCTTTCTCCAAAACCCGCCCACAAAAACGCCTGCCACGGTGGACAGGCGAACGACGAAGACGAGGACATGTGGGCTCCGTGAACTTGATCCACGCAAGCTGGCGGCCGTCATCCAATAACTCTGTGCTACTTTGAGAATCACCACCACTGGTTAATTTTCTCTCCTTGACGGGGTGAGACTATAGAGGGGGGAACATCACCGGCTAGCAGTTTGTTGATGGTTCCGTATCAGCCACAAACACAATTAATCGCATCTCCCTGCCTGCCTGGAGCACACAATTGTTTCCAAGTAAGCACCCACGTGGCCTTTCACGAGCCTCGTTGTGAACGAGGTTTGTTCCTTTGTCTGTCACCGCACGTTTTCTCAACAGGTTCTACCTCAACCTCCTCATCGTCCCACAGGTTCGTCACAGACTTTTATCCAGAAACCGCTCCCGCATCTCACCCCGAGCCTAATCTTTAGAGAGGTTGCGCAATTTTCCCAACCTACCGGGCGCGTGGCGCCTCGCCTTAGCTGTTCCGAGCCAGGCAAGGCAGCTGCCGAAGCAGGCTGACACAGCATGGAGATCATCGTCGTCACCACATAAACACCACTTTATTCCCCTCATCAACTGGAAAAGGTGGAATGGTCTAGCAACAACAGCAGATCCTTCAGACCTTATTTTAGTAACTAGCATATCTGCTTGCTAGCGTTCTTCAACATCCACGTTTCTTACCACTTCGTCAACAATATTAGAGGAGACTCCTGACACCCCTTTTCTGATTTCTTCTTGTCGATCATCCCTCTCAACAACGCAATGGCGTGCTCATCACTGGCTGCGGTACGCATCAGCGAGGTTCCGTAATCTTTGTTTCGTGGCTTTTGCTTATTTGTTAATGGTTGCGATGACGTAAAAATTGCAGTCGCGATGCGCATATCTCATTTGCTTGTATCCATAATCCTTTCTCGGAGTCACAGTTCAGATGGCTGGTGTCAGAGCTGCTGTTTGGATCGATTACATACCACAATTCACCCTCCTTTCCACCTGTTTAAACGTTCCAACTAAACGGTTCTTGTCTGACCATTTTACCGAGTTGAAACCCAAATGCTGCCCTTTACCGTCACTTCCATGTGTCTCAGGCGTCCAGCGGCCTTTCCTTCGCCTCTCCAGCTGTCACTGGCATAAGCTCTTCCAGCATTGCGAGACGAGACGCTCTAAGGTACGTCGCTGCTACCGTCGTTCGCGGTGCCTTGATGAAGGCTGCATCGACTAACCTAATCGTCCTCCCATGCGCTTTTGAAGTTCTCCACCTTAACACCAGAACGTGCGATACAGTTCGGGCGATATGTCCGAGATAATGTAGTTCACGCTTGCCATTGGCTTGTTCCGTAATTCCTTCCACCATCTCTCCCTCAGGCCTTCACCGGCACAACCGGTGCGCGTGGCACCGCGAGGAGCGGCGCTTGTTGCTGCAGCGGTGGCGACGTCGGCGCCAGTGGCGGGAGTAGCGGATCAGCAGCAGCGGCGGCAGCTGGAGGCGCTACCTCTGTCACAACTGCGCGCCATGGCTCGCGCACGGGGCATCTCTGGCGGCGGCTCCAAGGCAGATCTCATCTCCGATCTGCTGTGAGTGAATTACTGCTGCCCAGTGTGCTTCTCCTCTTGCGCTTCTCCTCTATGTCTACTCTCTAGCGCCCCAATGCGTCCCATTCACCCGTCTGTCGTGTCTCTTTCCTTCGCTCATCTTCCCCCTTCTCGTTTTTTCCTCCGCCAGTCGCGCCGCTGATACGAGCTCGTCGTCCGCCTCACAGCCCACCTCCGCCGCGTCCGCGCAACAACCCGCCAGCGCCCCCCAAGCGGCGGTAGGGGTAGAGCCGGCGGACGAAGCGCAGGGCCTGGAGAAGCGGCTGCTGGCAACGCCCTTGGCGGCTCTGCGCGCCATGGCGCGGCAAAAAGGGCTGCGGGGGAACACTAAGGAGGAGCTCGTTGCGGCACTCGTGTGAGTCACCGTTGCTGCTGCTGCTGCTGCTGCTGCTGCTCGTTAATCTAGGGTTAAGAGAGGGTTAAGTACGGCTGAAGGCTGTTGTGCGTGCGGTATCGTCTTGTGAGGGGGGGGGGGGGGGGGGGGGGGGTTTGGATCTGAAAGCTGCGAGGTGGAATGGAGTGCGTGTAACTGTTTGGAAAGCTTGGGCGCCTACTCTGTGATAATACTCACGGCAGAAGGCTAACACTCTTCGCTCCCCCAACTCTCACATCCCTCGCAATCAGCAACGTCCGCCGTCGTATCTGCTCCCTCCTCCCACTTTTTTTTATGCTGCTGTTTCTCTAACGTTTTCAACCACTCTTCTTTCCGCCCCTATCCCGTTGCAGTGCCGCAACACCATCTCTCCCCTCGTCCGTGCCCGTTTCCTCTGCTTCCGCCTCCGCCAGCTCCGCCTACCCCGCCGCCTCCGCCCCCCTCCCGTCCAATGGCTCCGTCGCGGCGTTCGTTCCCGCGCGCGCTGTTGCTGCTCCTGCCGCCAAGCCCAGCCCTGTGACGCTTGTGTGAGTAGCGCGCGTTTGTGGGGAATGGAGGCGTTTTGCGGGTGTGTCGAAAAGGAGAAGCGCAATGAGTGGGAAAGGCTGGCGGTGGGTGAGAGTGTGTGTTATGCACGCACGGTCTACGGAGGGAGTCCGATCGTCCCGTGTTGCTTGACTCTTTCCGGGGGGGTGAGGTTACGGCCATGGGCATGGACATGGGGATGGGATTGGGATCGACGCTTTGCGTACGGGTGTCGAGGTCACTGGTTTGAGAATGGGAGGAAACGGGGAGAGTTCAGGTGTCGGACTGACTGTCATTCAGGTGGGGCCTTTTCAGCGCCTGGGACGCGTTAAGCATCACTGGTTTGCAGCTGGAATGGCTCGGAACTAGCATGTTGCAGTGAGGTGGACTAGCATTGAGTGCGAAACAGAGCTCGCTGTTAGGAACTAATCGCCGTGTTGAGAGAACCCACCAATAGAAGGGCGGTTCGTATGGTTGGTACTAAAACTAAGTGCGAAACTTACCCGTATTGTGCTTCCTTGACCTGGTGTTGTTGAGGGCAGCGGGATCTTGCTCTCAAGTGATCCATGCATTGCTGTTGTCACACGGACGTACCACCATGTGTTGCTGTTTTGGCACCGGCACGTGCCATGCCACTTTGCCCCACTCCTAAGCGATCCTGTAGGATTTGTCTGCAGTTTTTATGTTCATACGTCCGCACAGCATCTCCCCTTCTCACTTCCTGTCTTCATCTGTATTATCTTTCATCACTGCTCACACTTATCACTGCTCACCCTCTTGCCCGCCTTGTGCCTCTGCCTGCTCTCTTCCTGCTCCTGCTTGCTCACACAGTGCTGAGGCCCCTGCTCCTGCGCCATTCATTCTTCCGTTCCAGTCGGAATTCAGCTCAACACTGACACCATTGCAGGTAATAGCATTTCCAAACACACTCGCGGAGAGTGCAGTCACCCCACACACCACCACTCCTCCATCATCACCTCGGTCATTCCACCTTTCCATGCGTTCAGCATCACTGCATCACTTCCAGCTGCCCCCCACCTGGCCATCATGTTTAACCTCCACATGATGATTGATCCCCATGGCGCCAATCACCCCCACTTCTGTAACCGCTAAGTCCGTCCGTTCTGCCCCTATTCCCCATTCAAACCGGCGCCTCCTCACATCCGCACCCTCCGAATTCGAGACTTAGTTCAGAACCCTCAGGTTTTGGTATTCTGCAGATGATTCTTCAGGAGCATGGCACATACCCTCTTGCCTCGTCCATATCCCTTTATCTCCAACCACCCATGCAAGTCATGCTCTGCCCTTCGCTCATTGCAGCACTGTTCAGAGCCAAACTGAATAAGTGTGAGACTGTTTCATACTTGTCCAGCTCTCCAACACCACGCTGGCCACTTCCTCAGCACCTCTTCCTGCCCCTCTCATCCCGTCATCCCCTCATCCCCAACCCCACAGGCGGTTCAGCTGCAGGAGGAGCTGGCGTCGCTCAGGGAGGCCATGGCAGCACTGCAGGCGGACCAGAAGGTGATATCGGCCGACAGGGAGGGGCTGAGGGAGCAAGCGGGCTTCCTGCGGAACCTGCTCATTGGGGGCATTGGCCTGGCTGCCGTGCCGCTGCTATTGCCTGCTCAGATTGCCACGACTGCTGCCACTGGAGGCGCTGTTGCAGGCGCTGCCGGGGGTGTGACTCAGGTGTGTAGGCATTTGCATCGTTATTTTTTGTCCTGCGCTCTGTTTTTTCCCGTCTTGCTGTCGTTTGGGACATGCGACTCGTTATGCCATACTCCCCATTCTTGTATACCCATCTCCGCTGTTTCTAGAATTTGAAGTCTTTTCACCGTACTCGTGGTTCCGATTATTTTCTATTCCTCTCATTTCTGGTCTCATGGTTCTGATCTCATGGTTCTGACTTCTCTTGACCCGCTCCTTCCATTGCTGCAGGTTCTTCCTCCTCCCCAGGAGCCTGCACCCGAGGTGCGTCAGCTGTCCCCTGAGGACTTCTGCAAAACCCTACCTGCCAATCTGCTCTCGCCCCAAGCTGCACGGTTCTGTACTGCTGTCAACCAAATGGGGCTCTGAGAAGCTATGGCAAGGAGTCTGCCGAACTGATGGTTCTGCTTCTTCCATGGGAATTGTTAATGTGTTGGGTATTGCATTTGCCAGTGGATGTCAGACTAGGTGAGATTTGGGGATTCACAATGGAAATATGTGTAAGATTGTTCTGCTTCGCTGCTTATTAAATATATCTTAGCACAGTCACTCTTCTGAAATTATGCGTAGCATTTCTCTAGTTGGGGGTCATGTAGACGAATTTGGAAATTCATTCTCCCTAGCCGACACAGCCTCGGTTAGCGTTCACCCGACAAGAGCCAGAATGAAAAACCTGGCGTGGCAAATTTATCAACAAGCCACACTCGAACCACGTGCCATGCGATTGTTCGGTCTCAGATCAGCGTGCAACCAAGCTTCATCGCGATCGGGACAACTTCAGCTGCAATCTAATTAAGCCAGCGCGGTTCGCAAATGCAATCCCTAACATTCCGCCTGGAAGAAGCTGATGGGTCGTAATCTGTTCGTGGTCAGAAAAAAATAAATCCCATCTGGATGGCATGCGATTAGGGGAGCCCCAAACCTAAACACGGGGAGCCCCAACCCTAAACACGGGCAGCCGCATGGTTCTGCCCAAAAATATTGCATTCGCAAACCCGCACTGGGAAAATGAGATCGCAGTTCGAATTGTCCGGTAATCGATCGCATGTTGTCCACCATGGCATTCATGCTACGTCCGCATTCTTCCTAGTGTACAGCGTGGCAGCCCTGACCACGTATTCTTGGAGATATTCCGTGGGCAAGGGAATCAGGTCCTCCATTCAAAACTGCCAGTGCAACACTCGTCCGATCATCCGCCGAAACTGGCAATTGCAAATTTGCCAAACTGTTGACCAAATCAGTCATCCAATCAGAAAGGCTTTCACAAACTGCCTTGACTCGCTAGTACAGTATTTCGTGGAAATCTGTGGAAGTTTCCAGGTTTACAATTGGGAAACGTTCGATGAGTGACACGCTGCATGGAGGCGCGAGCAATACCGAGCCGCTACGGTGGAGTAGCGCCACCGTCGTTTCACCGCACCAGACGGGACCCTGAGGCCCCTGCGGCTCGCAACAGCACAGCCTGGAATGCCCTGGATTTTTCGTACCGAGGGAATCAAAACAAGGGAGCTGGATTGGAGCTGAAATTGCTGCCTCTCTGGGCTGGCAAAAAACTCCTCTGGAGTCACTATCCTGGTCCCTCCTCCGCACGCGTGATCCAAGCCGCACTTCTTGGTTCGTGAACAGTCTGGGGCGTGGTGATGGACCGTAGATATTTCTGCGTCACGGAAATTGTCGTCTATCTAGATTCTCATTGAAATATCCAGTGGTTCCTGCCAAGCTGTACAAGACAAAGCTGCTTCCACTTTGCTCTCATTTATCACCTGAGCTTGCCTCTCTAGGTTCTCCAGAAGGATAAAAACTGGAAGTCGACATGATTTCTGATTTTTTTTCTTGGACTAGAAACCTGTCCAGTCAGAATGATAGCAGCGAGGCCCAACACACCCAGAGCATTTCCTTGTCTGCAGACTCGGCTCCCTTGTTGACTCGGAAGGGGTCGACTGCTACCCGCTTCTCCTCATCTCACACATCATTGTACCCTGCTGACCTGCCCGGCTCAACAACCTGAGATTGGCCGGGCTGGCTGGAGTGGTGTGGTTGACGTCGCGCTCGTTCTTGGGAACGGTGCGTGCGATGCGAGTTGTATGCACGACGTTGCCAGGTCTGTTTTTTCAGACCCACCAAAACTCAACCCAACCCAAACCAACCCAACCGTACTCATGCGCGCCAAAGGGGGGACGAAGCGGGCGGGTTGCTCGCTCTTGCATGAAACATCGGAAAGGGGTTGCTTCGAGGTGAGGGGCAGGAAACGGGCTGCACTGGTGACTTGCTCCACCCCTCCTGAATTCGTTGGAGGTCAAGGGAGGGAGAGTGGGGCAGACGAGTGACGATGAGAGGACAACGATAACTCGACAAGTCCAGTCCAGCAAGAGACATTTCACGGCAAGCAGGCATTTCATAAGGCGCAAATAAAAAAGCACGATTATCTGAGAGTAGTCAGGAGAGGTCGGCATTCACACCGTTATCAATATTTCTGTCCATAAGCATTAGCGTTCGTACCGTTTTCAATATCGCGCACCGCAACTAGCGCCTTTCCTGTTGCTAAAGACCGCCAAGAATCCTCGCTTTCTCTCTGTAATATCGTTATATCAATCAATCCATGGCTTCCGCGCGCTTGATGGCAACCGCGGCGCATTCCAAAAGGCCTGCAGAACAAAAACCAGCCCGGGAAACCAGCGCCGGGAACGGCCACTTTGAAGGAGACGCCACGCTTTGCAAACGACCGAGGGTCGACGCGCAGAACTTCCAAACCACTGCCGCAGCTCCTAAAGACGGCGAGCCTTCGCGGCAAGCCGCTCTGCAGCTGCAGCAGCTTGCGCAAGGAGTACTTGCCGACGTGTCGCTGTCTCCGCACTTCACGCCTGCGGCGGCGGCAGCAGCTCCGCAGGAGAAGGCGCATGTCACGCTGCAATACGACCGACAGCAGCTAAACCAAGCGCCGGTTGCAGCCCCCTCCACGCCGGAATTGAAGCCGGCACCTGCGCCGGCATTTGCGCCGGCGTCGTCGTTTCAAAATGTGCTCGTCGCTCGTTTAAAGAAGCACTCGGAGGAGCTGTTGCGGATGAACGAGATTGCGCGCGAGCGGTTGCGCCGAGTGGCGGAGAAAACCCGCCAGCTGGACCAAGTCCGCCAGCACGTCAACGCCGCCGTCGTTGCGCTTCACCGGCGCGAGGCCGCCAGTATCGCCAGTGGCGCGCTCCGGGAGATTGGCGGTACCGCGCGCGTGATGGAGAACCCTTTCTCAGGGGATGGTGGCGTTAAGAGCGGCGTGGTTGACGGCGCGATTGACGCGAGCGCCAGGCTGCGGAACCCTCGTGCAGACCTGCGGGAAGCCAGGGGTAGCGCGTTGCCCGACGAAGACGAGGCGGACAGTGGGGAGCGGGGTCTCGCCGCTCCCGCCGCTCACACTGCGGGTGACGAAGAGGATAAATGGGTTGAAGGAGAAAACGACACGCGCAGCTCTACTGGTGCCAGCAGCAGCAGCGACAGCACCGGCAGCGTTACAGGCCCGCGCCGCTTGACTCGTAGCACGAACGGCGGCTCGGTCTCGCTCCTCCCGTTCATGGGAATGGCGGCTGCGTGTGGCGGTGGCGGTAGTCCCGGTGGGCGATGCGGCTGCGACGCGCGCGACGGCGACGGCGGCGCTTGGATTGGCGCGCGACGGAGAAGCGTGGGTGGGGCGGATATGCGCGTTGTTGAGGTTGCGGAGGGAGGGGGACCCCGCGGTACGAGATGCTCCTGGTTGGAGTGCTGAGCTGATACAGCTGCGATGCCCTTCAAGGGCAAGAGCTTGATGCATGCCGGTGACAGTGGAGTGGACGTACGTATACCCCGTATCTGGTTTTGAGGCGCCTCAAAACTAGTAGCATGCCGGCCGGTTACAGTGGACGTGCCTATACGGTATCTGCGGACGTGGGGAGGAGAAGTGACGTGACGTGCCTTCAAGTCTACTACTGACCAAGCTTGTAGGAGACGCGTGCAAGGAGTCTACACAAGTAGCCTCTGTGCCTGGCTTGCTATGAGACGTGTAGAAAAGGTTGCCTCTGTACTTAGTGGGTTTAAGTGAAATAAGATGCTATGTAGTTTGTTGCAGTTGTTACCTCCTTGTAACTCTATAAGATCTAGTGGCTGCTTGAGGAGGGATGCCAATTATTTTCAAGCACAGTTCCGCAAATGTACGGTAGTCTTTGCACACAGGCAGATACCACATGAATGTGCCGTAAGCATGCAGCCATCATCCAGCCTATTCAACAGCCAGGAGGTTCAGTGTCCACCTCTTGGGGTTGCTTGTTGATGTTGCTATTGCTGCTCTTGCGGCTGCTGCTGTTGTTGCTGCTGCAGATGCAGCGTCCCCTTTCATGCCGTTCTTCATTATGGCTCTGCTATCCTTCTTCTAAACAAAAACACTATTTGCTGCCATTATGGCTTCTCCCGCCATTACCACCGCCAGAGCCATTCCCCCCGTGGCCTCCTCCTCCACCGCCCACGAGCTTCGAGAGCAGGAACAGGCAGCCAGCAGCAAAGCAGACCGAGGCGGAGAAGAAGAGGAGATCGAGGGCGGAAGACACGGGCACCTTCTTGCTCTTCTCAAACATGCCCACGAGCAGGATCATCACTATCACATGGCCCAGCTTTGTCTTCATTTCATCCAGGGAATGAATCTCGAGCCACTTGGGGCGCGCCTGGGGGGGGAGAGCAGTTTGATGGAGAGGGATGGGGGGATGGGGGTATGGGGGGATGGGGGGAATGGAATGGAGTTGATTGTTCCTCTCGTGGCCCAGCTTGGGCGTCATCTCATCCGGTGACTGAATTTCTAGACACTTGGGGCGCGCAAGGGGGGCGTGCCAGTGCGGTGAGGTGAGGAGGGGAGAGGGAAGAAGGGAGAGGGGAGAGGGGAATGGGGAGAGGGGAATGGGGAGAGGGGAATGGGGAGAGGGGAATGGGGAGAGGGGAATGGGGAGAGGCGAATGGGGAGAGGGGAATGGGGAGAGGGGAATGGTGGACCGTGCACCGGGAGCGAATGCGTGATGGAGTTTCAGGGATGTGTTGAGATTCGAGGGGTGTCGAAAGCAGAGGTGTGCGAGGAAGGTCATGGTTGGGATAGGGGCACGAGAATGAGTCGAGCTCTTCCTGGTGGAGCAGCTTACTTTGCCTTCATCCATTGCAGGCATGAATCCCCGGCCACTTACGGGGGGCGTGTGGAGGAGAATGGCAGTGATACGTCAGTGAGGAGGGAGCAAGGGGTTGTGTGGGGTTCAAAGCAGACACAATATGGTCAGGAGAGGGAGAGAGTGGGTGGAGCGTCCCAGCCGTCCCAGCCACAACAGATGCTGCTGCACGGCCTGCCCCAATGCTGCAGCGAATGCGCCTACCTTGAGCCGGAAGCAGTTGGGTTTGTGGAATTCCCAAAAATCGTCTCAAGTTGGAGGAGGCCAAAGAGGCTGGAGCCGCAGATGCGCTGTGAGAGGGCGAGTGTAAGGCACCCCAATCACGCAGCACTGCAGCAAGCACGTGCACGGTGCACCCACCTTGAGGCGGAAGAGGCCAAAGAGGCTGGAGCCGCAGATGCTCTGTGAGAGTCCTTGTTCCAGGCACCTCAAACACGCAACGCTGCAGCACAGATGCACGCACCTTGAGGCGACTTTTGCGTCGACTCAGAGGACAGATGCACGTACCTTGAGGCGGAAGAGGCCAAAGAGGCTGGAGCCGCAGATGCGCTGTGAGAGCTCGGCGCGGGCCTCAGGGGAGAGCAGGGATGTGTCGCGGGGCACGTCGAGGGAGTTGACAAAGAGCTCGTACAGTCCGATGCCGAATATGAGCATGACGGTGCCGATCAGGTACACGTCTGGTGTTGCAAGGGGGGGGGGAGACGGCAGGGGAGAAGGGGAGGAGAGGGGAGGAGAGGGGAGGAGAGGGGAGGAGAGGGGAGGAGAGGGGAGGAGAGGGGAGGAGAGGGGAGGAGAGGGGAGGAGAGGGGAGGAGAGGGGAGGAGAGGGGAGGAGAGGGGAGGAGAGGGGAGGAGAGGGGAGGAGAGGGGAGGAGAGGGGAGGAGAGGGTAGGAGAGGGGAGGAGAGGGGAGGAGAAGGGAGGAGAGGGGAGGAGAGGTGAGGAGAGGTGAGGAGAGAGGAGGCATCCCAGGAGGTGACAAAGACCTTGATAACGAATATGATCATGATGGTGCCTCAAAGGCCGTACAGCCCAATGCTGCATATGGGCATGAGAGTGCGGACGAGGTAGACGCCTGTTGTTGGGCCAGTTTGACAGCTACAGGGTCGGTGTGGGGGGGGTGGGGGGTGGCGGCTTTAGTCAAAATATTACTGGCAACTTTTTTTAAGCGTCCCAGAATACTGTTGTCTGGGCCTGCCGATATGAGCATCAGCGTGCGAATCAGGCACACGTCTGGTGTTTGGCGGCACGGGTTTTGCGGGTGTGATGGGACAGGCGGCGGGGGTTGGGTTGGAGGGTGGGCAGAAGAGGAAAATGGGGAGAATCGAAAGTGGCGGCTCGGCACTTTGGACAGTGTTGCAGGAATGGGGGAATGATAGTTAATGCAAAGGAGGAAAGCCAAGGGCTTTGCTGTAATTGGATATACAATCTCAATCTCTGTCTCTTGAACAGTCTTGTACCCCGGGATGCAATGAAGGGCAGAAAGAGGGCCAATTGAGGGCCGATTGAGGGCCGATTGAGGGCCGATTGAGGGCCGATTGAGGGCCGATTGAGGGCCGATTGAGGGCCGATTGAGGGCCGATTGAGGGCCGATTGAGGGCCGATTGAGGGCCGATTGAGGGCCGATTGAGGGCCGATTGAGGGCCGATTGAGGGCCGATTGAGGGCCGATTGAGGGCCGATTGAGGGCCGATTGAGGGCCGATTGAGGGCCGATTGAGGGCCGATTGAGGGCCGATTGAGGGCCGATTGAGGGCCGATTGAGGGCCGATTGAGGGCCGATTGAGGGCCGATTGAGGGCCGATTGAGGGCCGATTGAGGGCCGAATCTTTCGCATTCGTGTGGCTGAAAGAGAGAGCATCTGAGGTCGCACATGAAATGAGCGGATGAGAAGTGCAGATGAAATGAGGAGATGAGAAGGGGAAGAGCATTCGTAACTGATACATTCACCTCCAAGGCTGCTCCAGTGCGTAGATTCCTTCCTTCCATGGCCCTCCCTCCTTCCCATGAAAGCTCTTCATCACACCAATGAATGACTAACCAGGCTTACCTTGAGCCGAGCATGGTCTTTCCCGTCTCTTCCCTGCACAGCACCAAACTGCACTGCACTGCACCGCATTGCACTCACCCACGGCTTCCACGAGCAGCAGAATGACCTTGCCCGTGCCCACGCCATGCCAGCAGAAGAGCAGAAACTCCTTCACAGACTGAGCCACGAAGATGCAGCCCTGACAGGGGTTTCAAGTTGCGGTTGGGGGTGGGGTTGGGGTTGGGGTAGAGGTTTAGGTTGGTTTTGAGGCGCCTAAAAAAAATGTCATCTATTGAGGCACAGCAGAAGAGCAGAAACTCCTTCATTGACTGAGCCACGAAGATACAGCCCTGACAGGGGTTTCAAGTTGCGGTTGGGGGTGGGGTTGGGGTAGAGGTTTAGGTTGGTTTTGAGGCGCCTAAAAAAAATGTCATCTACTGAGGCACAGCAGAAGAGCAGAAGCTCCTTCATTGACTGAGCCACGAAGATACAGCCCTGGGAGAGGTCTCGCGTTTCAAACAGAGGTGGGGTTAGGGGTGGGGTCCAGGTTGGCGGGCTAACGTTAGCGTTGTTGTTTCCTTGGGGCTGCTGTGCTGCTGCTAGCTGGCATGATTGAAACAACGCCTCAGTCCCTCCAATGCAGCAATGGCTTCAGTCTCGCTTGTCCTCGCATACCCTCACGTGCCTTTGAGACGTCTCAAAAATACCCTCACGTGATCTCACTCTTCCCCTGTCCACCTGCCCTCCTAGTCTGCCAAGCAACCAGTCCGCCTGCCACCGCCTACCACCGCTTGCCATCGCTTGCCACCGAATCCGCACTCAGATCGCCGTTCTCGGCTCAGTGGGGCGAACCGAGAGTCGACTAGTTCCGAGACGACTCAAATGTGAAATAAGTAAGTCTTTGAGACGTCTCAGAAACTCACTTATTGCAGAGGAGACGAGTTTCGAGACGACTCAGAAGACCCGGCAGGCAGGCACCCGGTAGGAAAGGCACTTGGTGCGCGTGGCACCCAGTCAATAAGGCACCCAGTCCGCGCGGCGCGCAGTCCATGTGGCACCCGGTCCACGTTGCACCCAGTCCACGCTTTAGCCAGTCCACGTGGCAAACCCAGTCCACGTGGCAAAGCCAGTCCACGTTGCAGCCAGTCCACGTGGCAGGCGGCCAGTCCGCGCGCTCACCTTGGTGAAGCAGAGCGCGGAGCCGATGAGCGACCCCACGACGGCCATGAGGGTGAAGAAGCGGAAGTTGAAGATGCTCTGCCGGGGGACGGTGAGGGACGGGACGGCGGCGTACAACAGAGGGGAAGGCAGGGGAGCAGAGGGTTAACAAAAACACCCTGGGCTGAAGACACACGTGAATTTCGTGGAGGTTCTATTCGAGAGGGATCTGATAGAATCGCGACCACGCACTCACCCGCTCGATAATGTCTTCCAGAGACCGCACGCGTTTGGCGCGGGTCACGCTCTCGCGCTCCGCAGCGCTAGCTGTGTTGGCACTGCTGCTCGTATCGTCACCGGCATCGGTCGTAACGCTACCGCTACTCGTAGCGGGCTCAGAATAGTAGTACCATCCGTCTCCGTCTGACGAAACGTTCGACGCGTCCGCCGCGGCTGCCGTGATTGCACCGCGACCGCCTCTGGCGTGGCGGCTACGATGTTTCCGCGATGCGACCAACGATCTGGTCTGCGACGCACGTTCGCCATAATTATCCACGAGAATCGGACGCGACGAGCCGAGAAATTCCGTGCTCGCGCTGGTCCTGGAACGGCTAGGAGAAGTGCGGTTAGTGTTGGCGCCGGTTGTCATGCTTGCTCGGGCCGCGCTCGAGGTCGAATGCGCCGCGAGTGGCGGGAATTTCGAGGAGAGGATCATTTTGGTGGGGAAGCGACGCGCGAGGTAGACCCGTGGTTGGTGGTCCGGCGTGTGAGAAGGGAGTGAATTGTGATGAGTGTGTGACGACGCGCGCTGGTGCTCATTTGCAGTTGATAAGGAGTGTGTGCCAGTGGGAAGTTGGTTGACGACGCACGCCATGGCTGCACTACTGCTGCCGTGAATTCAACAGCTGCTTAGCACTGGTACTCTTGCTCAGAATATGATGTGGTCTTACTTGGACAAGGTAAACTTGCAAATTCCGCAGAATAATCTCTTGCAGGTAATCCGAGTGCATTACACGAGTTCTCGCACTCCTGACTGCAGCGCGTTTAGCCTAATGACGGTGAGTTCAACTTAAGCGAACCGTTCCTCGCCGCGTCGCTTCCAAACGACAACAGTGGTGTCTCATCATCAACAATGTCCTACCACGGAACGTTCGCGAGAATTGTGAGAGAGACACCGAGAATGGAGAACAATGACGGGGATGAGGAGAAGGAGGTCGAGCAGGAAGAGAAGGAAGATGTGGAAGAATTTGGGAAGCAAGGACAATACGGTGCTGTACGGTACTGTAGCTGTAACTATGAAAATAGCATCTGGCGCCAGCCCGCCCATCCCTAAGTACGCCACCAACCGTACGATTATCCCGAATCGTGGTTTCGTGACTGGCCCGACGCCTCATCGAGCCCTCCACTTCCTGCCCGAACCTCGACGCGCGTAAGAAAAAAGGTGTTCAACGCGAGCAGCATCTCCCATGAAGAGGGAGCTCTCTTCGCCAGGCTGTGGAGCTGAGTTCATAATGGTTGGCCGAAGGGATCCAGGCTGACATGTGGGAACCATTACTGGCCACGTGGATAGTTCAGTCACTTCCACGTGGAAAACTGGAGAATGGTTATCAAAAGAAGCTGGTGTTAGTATACTTACTGTTGGGTAAAGCCCTATCCTACACTTCCCACATATGTACTTCAAAGGGCAGTAGTATCATAAGCTATGACTTAGAGGCAAGAACATGGTATATGGGTAAAAATACTATGGTATGAGTGTCTAAACTTTTTCTCATCATATTTCACCCATGATTCCCATTCTAGTTAGTTCGACCATAAAGGTTCGGACCATTTTTAACAGAATATTATTGGCTTTAATGCAAGAATTTCCTACTTAAGAATTGGCTAGTTGGCTCGGCGTATTTCTTGGGCCACAGCTTTCAAAATACCAGTCCTTGACGATGAGTGACACAAACAGTGCATATATATTATAGCCTGACAAAATTTATCGATTTAATAATGAGCTGCTTTTTACAGAGTACTTGTGCCAAAAAACCTATGTGCACTCGTTGTCGTGCTTGCGCCAACCTTCCCAACCAGGCGACACCAACCTCATCATGAGTACAGTAGCTTCGCGTTGCATCACCCTGGAGCATTCGTGAACGGGCAGCAGTAATCAGCAAGCGGGCAGCACTTCCTGCAGCTAATCCCGCTTCTTTGCTTCTACAGTGACGCTAGCCTTGTCCTCAAACCTTATTCTGGCATTTCCCGCCGCAAAAATCAACACCTGTCCCGCATTCTTGTGCAACCCACCCAGCTTTTGCGACTGGCTCGGCCTCCATTCAAGCTGCGCCGATTTTCGCGCATGTACAGTTTCTTCCCCTTATGGGCTGTCCCCACAGTTCGTCCAGACATGGTCCAGTCGGGTTCAGTAAGTTTCTACCCGGTAAAACATCTGTTTACTCTCACCACCGTAGTAGAACATTGAAGACCGAGTAAAACCATATGGCAAACGACACCCTTCCGCCTAGCCCACATCCGTGCTCCCCCCCTTCCCCCTCCCTCCCCCCGTACACCCCCGCTTCCACCCTCCCCCGTCATGTGTCACCCCGGACTCCCCACCCATCCCTTAGTTCCGCCAACCTGTCCCCCCTGCCATACACAGCAACCCCTCCCAACAAAATGGTTTGCGCACTTACTGCAGCTAGCGATGCCTTTCGAAGGCAAACCCTAGAAGCATTGCCCACTGGGAACTCAATAGTACGCAAAATCGACTTCATTGATGCCGTGAGTTGTTTTTCGTTGGTATCAGATAAGGTGATGAAGTCAAGGACGGAATAAAGTTGCTGGATGGCCAAAAGGAGCAGGAGAATTTCCTCGGTTGAACCACTACCATGTAAACCTGGTTGATGGCTGGATCTGGACTCATGTGTACGCGTTATGAGGCTGCGTTAGTCAACCCAACCAAGTTCGTAGCCTGTTGGTTGAACTCTCATCCTATCACAAGGTCTCTGAAGCGCTGTGAACAGGGCAATTGCTGTACCATGTAGGCCGAGGCATTTCGTTTATCCCACGCAGCATCCTGCTTCGTCAGCTCTGTCTAGTACCTCGTTTCCAAGCACCGCACGACCCGTCGTATCCCCGTTCCGCCATTTATTCGACCCGGTTCCGCGAGCCGCTACATCTTACACCGTCAACCTGGCGACAGCAGCCATGGCGCGTAACCGGGGCAGTCCCCGCAGCTCCGGTCAGCTTGCGCCACTTGGGGAAGGGGAGCAGCAGCAGCAGCAACAGCAGTGGACAGACGCAACCTGGCAGCAACAGGCTAACCGCTTAGCGTCCACGTCAGCGTCCGACAGGGCAGGGGAAGACAGTGGCAGCTGCGGCAGTGGTAGCGAGAGCGGCGGGGAGGCGCGAAGCAGAGAGGCTTCAGGCAGGCCGCGTGGCCTCACGTCGTTTGAAGAGAAAGGAAAGAGAGTTAAAGGTTCTGCCGATGATGGGGATGAGGACGAGGGTGAAGATGCGCGGAGCAGCGGAGGTGCGAGGGCAGGTGGGGAAGCAGCCGGGGGAGGAGGCGGAGGCGGAGGCGGAGGCGGTGCAAGAGGCGGAGTCGGGGGTGAGGGACGTTCGAGCGAGGGAGAGTTTATGAGATTGGAAAAGGACGCGGCTATAGGCTTGCTGGCACGAGAACTTTTAGGAGGCGGTATTACTAGTAGTAGCAGCGGTAGCAGCCGACCGGACTCGGCAGGGTACGAACGTAGTCTTAGCGACGTAGCGAACGCGACGCGGCTAGCGCGGTTGCGCCTAGACATCCCGTCCGATGGCATAAGTCGGGCAAGCAGATTTAGAGAGACGGACTCAGACGCCGAGGCGCGATTGGCAGACGATCGGAGCGGTGCGGATCGTAGCCGGCTCTTGCGCGGCCAGTACAGTCACCTGAGGCAGCAGCAGCAGCAGCTGGAACAGCATACGTCCTTAGGATCCTCAAGTCTACGAGGCTCCGGTTTAGGCGCCGCAACTGCCGCCGTAGGAGCCGCGCAGCTGGATTTACTATCGGTGGAGCTGCGAGTTCTGGAAGCGCGGTTGCAATCGGCGGGGGAGCAGGTGGAGCAGGAGAGGCGGGGGCGGGAGGCGGCGGAAATGGAGGTGCAACGGATGGCGCGCGAGATGATGCGCGCGGAGGAACAGCTCGTGCTGGCGGAAGCGGAGCGACAGCGCATGGCTGGTGGGCGGCATGGGGTGGCATGGGCCGGCATGGGGTGGCATGGGCCGGCATGGGGCGGCATGGGGCGGCATGGGGCGGCACGGGGCATTCCTCTGTAGTGCCATGCTTGTAGTTGGAACCAAATTTCCTTGAGCAAGGAGGGGGGGACGGGACGTGAAGCGGTGGTGTGGTTGGGAAGCCGAGGGCGTTGTTTTGAGCACCGTTCCGCTCCCGCTCCTGTCAATTCCGTACTCCTGTCGTTATTATTGTCTTCCTTATCTAGCAACTCCGCCTACCTTGCTGCGGCTCGTTTCACCTTCCTCTCTCGCTAGGCAATCACTCCTCCCTGACATACCTCCCTTGCGCTCCCTCCTTTTCCGTTCTCGACCCCTCCCTTCCCGCCACCCCGCTTCCCCGCTCTCACCTCTCCCCCCCTTTCCCCCCATCCTCCTCCGAACTCGCCCGCCCGTCCCCCCTGCGCAGAGGCTCTGGACGAGCTAAGCATGCAGCTGATAGCCACACGCAATCTTCTCACCAGCGCGGAGGAGGAGCGCGCGCAGCTGGCGGTGGCGGCGTCCGAAACCGCCAAGGAGCGCGACCTGCTGCGGCAACAGTGCGACGAGCTGCGCGCCGCGCTCGACCAATTAGGCACCTCCACGTCATCGTCAGACTCCAGCAACCCGCCCGGCGGAGGACCGGGTGGCGTGGCGGCGGCAGCAGCGGCGACGGCGGCTTCCGCGGGCGGGGGAGTGGGCGGCGGAAGAACGGCGGGACAAAGCGTGGAAACCCTGGCTGTCGCGGCGCTGTATAACGAGCGGGAGCGGCTTATAGAGCGGATACAGGACCTTGAGATGCGGTGGGGGCAGTGTCAGGAGGAGCTAGGGCAGTGTTTGGAAGAGAAAGAGCAGCTGCAGATAGAGGTGGGCGCGGCAGTTGCGCGCGCCATGGAGGAGCGACAGGAGTGGGTGGAGAGAGTAACTACCGTGGCGCGCGTGGGGAAGGAGGAGATGCAGCGGCGCGTGGCGAAGCTCCTGGCGCAGCGGGACGAGGCGGAGCGGAGCGCCAGGGCCGCGGAGGGGAAGGTGGCGGGGCTGCTGAACCAGCTCGCGGCGGTGGCGGGCGGAGGGGGAGGCGGAGCGGGGGGAGGGGGAGCGGGAGGGCTGGGGATGGGCGTGGGAGATGGGTATGGGGGCGCGGGCGGGCAGGACGGTGTGTGGGTGGGCGTGGGGGGGAAGGGGTATGGGCAGCAGCAGCCACAGCTGACTCGCGCCAGCACGTCAGATAGAAGACGGTACGGCTGTGCTTGTTGGCTGTGTGTTGTTGTTTCCCAGTCATCACCACCTCCGCTCCTCCCTCCCTTCCCGGCCCCATGGAACCGGGGACTACATGCGGTGGGACTGCTCTTGACCTTCCTAAGAAAGGACCCTCCTCCCCACACTCCCGTCCTCTCCCCTCCTCCATGCTCTTGGGCCGTTCCCCCGCCAGGAGCCCCTATGGCCGCCGGGAGCACCGGCGGTGGGACCGCACGTGGCCGACACGGCCACGCGGCGAGTCTCTTAACAAAGCCGTCAAAAGTACCATTCCTTTCCGTGGCTATTTGCTGAACAATGCCGTTCTCCCGCTCCACTCTCCCTCTCTCTCTCTCTCCCTCTCCCCCCAAACCCCAGGAGCCCCTACGGGCGCTTTGACTACACGCGGTGGGACCGCACTTTCTAAAAGGAACCGCCCTCACTGTCCTCCTTGCTCCGTCCCCCCCTTCCCGTTCCCCCAGGAGCCCCTACGGCCGCAGGGACTACACGAGGTGGGACCGTTCCCGGCCGCGATCAGACCGCTACGTGGAGCGAGACAGGCTCTCCGACTCCGTCGTCATCTCCTCCTCCTCCCCCGGGGGCACCGGCGCCGCCAGCACCTCTTCGCACTACCCCTACTACGACCGCAGGGATTACACGCGGTGGGACCCTTCTTGGAACTTCCTCAGGGTAAACGAAAACCCTCTGCTCCCCCCTCTCTTCCCCCCTTTTCCCGCACTCCCCTCTACCCCCCATTCCCCACCCCCCCAGGAGCCCCTACGGCCGCAGGGACTACACGCGGTGGGACCGTTCCCGGCCGCGATCAGACGGGTACGTGGAGCGAGACAGGCTCTCCGACTCCGTCGTCATCTCCTCCTCCTCGGGGGGTGGGGGAGCCACGGGCGCAGCCAGCACCTCGTCCCACTACCCCTACTACGACCGCTCGCGCTTCCGCGAGGGCCGCGCACGCAGCCACCACGGCCGCCGGCAAATGTCAGACGGGGCTTCTGTTTCTTCTCTCGATGACTCGTCGTCCACAGGGAAAGGCGCGCTCTCTGCCCCCCCGCCGTCGACGTCGGCTGCTGCTGCCGCTGCTGCGGCTGCCGATGGTGCTGGCGCTGCTGCTGCTTCCTCCCCTGCTACGCCGTCTTTTGCTAGCTCGATTTTCTCCTCACTGTTCGGCTGGGGGGGGTCGAGCCTGTCCCCGCCGTCGACCCAGCAGCAGAAGCAGCAGCAGCAGGGGGGGTTGGGAGCAGCGATGGGCGGGGCGGGCGCGGGTGGGGGAGGAGCGGGAGGCGGGCATAAAGTGGTGGGGGTTGCAGGGAGTGCACCTGGGAGTGTGTATGATGACAGATCGTCTACTACTTATGGGAGTAGCATGCGGCGATACAGCAGCGGTGCTTCTGCTAGTGGGTCGGTGAGAGGACGCGGCGGGTACGGGTATGGTGGCGGCAGCGGCGGGGGGATGGATGGAGCAGGGTATAACGACCAGGGGTATGGGCTGAGAGGAGTGGGAGTGGGAGGGGGAGGAGGAGGAGTGGGAGGGGATGGAGGGGGTCCGTATTGCCGAGTGATGGTGCCAGCAGCAGCGGCGGCGGCAGCAGCGGGACTCCCTGGGTGGTCAGCGGGAGGGAGGGATGGGGAGATCAGACCTGTTCCAGAGGGAAACGTGGAGGGCCAGGATTGGCTGTCGGATCAATCGGGCGGCACGACTATGGATGAGGTTGATGAGGTGCTGAGACAGATGGGAATATCGCCAGATGATACTGTGTGGAACGGGGGGGAGGGGGATGCGGGCAGGGGGAGGGAGAGAGGAGGGGAGGGGGGGTTGTCGCGGTATGGAGACAGAGTGAGGGACAAGGCGAGGGAACGGGCGAGAGGAGGGGGTGCGAGGGAGGGGAGGGAGAGCGAGGGGGATTGGGGGAGGTTGAGTGTTGGAGGGGGCGGTGTAACAGGAGGAGGAAGCATTGCGTCCGGAATGGGAGGAGGGGCAGGAGCAGGGGGGCTGGGTGTGGGGAGCGAAGGAAGAGGCGGTGAGGATGGGTACAGTGAGGTGGACGGGGGTGTTGGTGGTGCGGCCTCGAGTGCACTAACCGTGGCAGCGAGTGCTGGGTCTAGGACAGCGTTGAGACGGCTAGCAGCAAAGAGGGGGCAGTTGCCACCCAAGAACAGTCTGTCGCCTGTATCGCCCAATCAGGTGTTTCAGCATGCGCGGGACACAGTCATCCTGTACCAATGATACGGCAGTGACCTGGCAGTGACGTGGCAGTGACGTGGCAGTGACGTGGCAGTGAAGCGCATGTGGGGTGCCAGTGCCAGAGACATCTGTGTCTGTAACGAGTGCATGGTTGAGTGCGTGAGGCGAGGTGCGCGTTGGATTGAAAAGAAATATACTGCCACGGACTTGTGTCCTTATCGTACCATTTTTTTCGTAGGGGGAAATTGCCTTGGTTTCACCTTTTTGTGTAGGGCTATGCAGGGGCAGGTGTAGTGTAGATTTGGGGTGTAGTGTAATCCTCATGTAAGGATGTAGTTATCAATGTAGGCATGCAATGTACCGGTAAGGATGTAGGAGCCTGCGCATACTGGCATTTGGGCTCTCAGGCTAGGCCTACCTAGAAACTACTATACCTACCACCAATCCCGGGGTGCAGCAGTCTATGCATGTAGGCTTTCATATTGGCCGTTATTCGAGTTGTTTCACAGATACCGTAGCACGGAAGCTGGAAGTGTCTCATTCTGAAACTGCCTTGTCACTTCACAAGCCATTGATCAAACAACGACAGGTGACAATGCATTAGGAAAGCATCATACTATGCAGAGCCTATCTAGAAAGTACAGTACCGTACCAGTAAGGAAGAAGCAGTTCCGTGGGGCAAGCGACCTAGGACGGGCCAAGCTACCGATAACGAGCGGCTGTGCTGAAGATGTTAATGTTCATACCAGCTAGCAGTTAGCCATGGGATAAACAAGAAAACTGTGTTGTGTACACTGGTGGTGGGAATATTTACATAGCCTTGCTTAAAGCAGATAGGAAGTCGGGAGTTGGGTCTTGGGAGGGACAGACTGACTGACTTTGAGGGACATGAGGATAGGTGTGTGTGTGTGTGTGCGTGTATGAGTGTCTAGAAACACTTGCGGTGCACAATGCTGGGGCCATACTCCTCATACTCCTCCCTTGTGATCCACATCTGCATTGCGTTGTGTTGCACGGAACCGAGGGAGCGATAGCAGAGGAGAAAAGAGGAGGTGAGACGGGAAGGGGGAGAGGGAAAGGAGATAAGATAACGATTGGTGTCCAATGCTCGATGTACGGCATTCATGCTTCTGTTTTCCTTCATCGCACCCAAATACCAAATACATACGGTAATTCATCTCCTTGCACAACAATAATCCAACCCTAACCAGCCAAGCAAGCTCCACTTGTTGAAACCACTTCAGAGGCAAGTCAAAAGGGGCAGCCCAAAGCACCCACACACACCATCCCAGCCGTACCGCACCGCACACCATCCCTTAGCATCCCCCATCGCACCGACCTGTTCAAACGTGGTGAGACGCAAGAATAGACCCGCCGTTCCACACGCTGTATTTGCGCTCAGGAGGCGCCACCACACGCACGCGCACACACGCACGCACACATGCACACCCCATCGCACCCACATAACCAACGCACCCGCATGCACACATGCATACCCCATAGCACCCACATCACCCATAGCACCCCCATCCCACGCCTATCGTCCCTCATAACACCCACCTGTTCAAACGTGGTGAGAGACGCAAGGATAGACCCGCCGATCCACACGCTGTACTTGCGCTCAGGAGGCGCCACCACACGCACGCGCACACTCCCCGGCGCCAGTCCCCCCACCTCCCTCTGAATCCTCTCAGGCATCCCCGGGAACATAGAAGAGCCGCCACTCAGCACTATGTTTGCATACAGGTCCCTCCGCACATCCACATCGCATTTCATGATGGTGTTGTATGCTGCTTCGTGCAGGCCTGGTGCCTCCATGCCCACGAGGGAGGGCGAGAAGAGAATTTCTGGCGCGCGGAACCGCTCCGAACCGATTGTTATCACCTGCCCGTCGGGCAGCTCGTAGGTCTTGTCGAGACTGGTAGCTGCAGTAGCAGCAGCGGCAGTGTCAGCACTACCGCTCGGTGTCTCCCTCTCGGACCTCCCTCCCTTCTTCCTTCCAGCCCCGCCCTCCTCCCCTCCTCTCCTTCTACCTCCTCCCACTCCTCCCACTCCTACTCCACCACTCTCAACCAGCGCAATCTCTTTCTCATAGTCCTCTGCCACGTAACACAGCTTCTCCTTTATGTCCCGGACGATTTCCCTCTCTGCTGAGGTGGTGAAGGAGTAGCCTCGCTCCGTCAGCAGCATCGCCAGATGGCTGCTGACGTCACGGCCCGCGAGGTCCAATCGGTGGATGGCATGTGGCAGCGTGTAGCCCTCATAGATGGGCACCACGTGGGAGACCCCATCGCCTGAATCCACCACCAGACCTGGGGTTGGGAGGAGGGACAAGGAGTTTTAGCCAAGTGCCAGAATCGCCACCATGTGCAGCTCGCACAGCATAGCACCCAGCAGAACACCCAGCAGAGCACCCAACATAGCAGCAGGCAGGGGGGAGGGGGCAGAGGGCAGGAGGAAGGGAGGCGCGGACCTGTGGTGCGGCCGGAGGAGTAGAGGCTGAGAATGGCTTGAATGGCAACGTACACAGCGGGCACGTGGAACGACTCCATCATGATCAGCACCATGCGCTCGCGGTTCGCCTTGGGGTTGAGTGGCGGCTCGGTGAGCAGCACAGGGTGCTCCTCGGGGGACACTCGCAGCTCGTTGTAGAAGGTGTGCGCCCACACGCGCTCCATGTCGTCCCAGTTGCTCACTATGCCTGTTGTGGTGCGGTGGACAGGTGGAGGGAAGGGAGGGAGGGAAGAGGAGAGGCGCAGGGGAGGGGAGTGGGTGGGGAGGGGGGGAGAGGAGGTGTTTGCTGAGAGAGTCTGGATGGAAAGATGTGTGTGCCCACACGCACACACCATGCCAGCACCCTGTCAACACACCTGAGAAATTCAGATCAGACACCATGTCTGCACACCATGGTTAATTCTGGAAGGGTATTTACCGTGCTCGATGGGGTACTTGATGGTCAGGATGCCTCGCTTGCTGTGTGCCTCGTCACCCACGTACGCGTCCTTCTGCCCCATCCCTATCATGACGTCATGGTGACGTGGACGCCCCACGATGCTGGGGAACACGGCGCGGGGAGCGTCGTCCCCAGCGAATCCGGCCTGTCGGAGGAATTGGGACAGCAGCAGCAGGTTTTTGCTGAGCATTCTCAGGTGATATATATATATATATATATATATATATATATATATATATATATATATATATATATATATATATATATATATATTTCCAGATAGCTTTTGAAATTTCTCAGGCTGTTTCTGAGAATTCTCACAATCGACCCGCAGCAATAAGAGCGGTTGGAGCAGTGTGGCGTGAACGGAGCTTGCCAACGTTGTCCGCTGTGCAAACCACACCAAAGCACACGGAAGAGAGTAATTGACGATTCAGTGAGCGGATGCACGGTTCAGACCATTTCTCTCACCTTCACCATGCCGGAGCCATTGTCGCAAACTATTGGAAGAAACTCCTGCTCCGCCATCGCCCGGCTCAGCTCGGTTCAGGCTGGCTCAGCTCGGCTCAGCTTAGTTCGGCTCGGCTAGGCTCGGCTCGGCTCGGTTCCGCTCAGCTCCGCGCGGCTAGGCTCTGCTCAACTCGGCTCGGCTCGGCTCGGCTCGCGTCAAAACCTCACGACTAGCAGTGACTCTACACACACCGCAAACGGCGCAACCTCTCCAGCGGTTAGTCAGTCTCTCTCATCCCTACAGAAAGAGAAACCGCAGGCAACGCAAGCAGGGGCGTGGGATTCGCAGCGATGCCAAACATCCCGGCGAAGGTGAGGCTCAAGAGTCTCGGTGGGAATGGGTGGAGATGGTTTGGAAGGCGAAGGAACTTTCGAGATGATGGAGCTGGGTGCCATGCACGGATGCGATGGCGGAAGCGCGGCATTGCGCACTCGCGCGCTTCCGACGCGCCTCGGTAGCGCGAAATGCAGTGGAGGTTGGGTGTCCGAACATGCAAGCACTCATGCTGAGCTGGAAATCTGGAGATAACAGAGCAGAAGGATGAATTCGAGAACTGGAAATTCAATCCCAGCATCATACATCATTTATTCAGACAACAACAAAATTAGTCCTAGTTGCAGTATCCTAGGTTTGGCCTACATTATCTGCAAGACTAGAAAATGAATGGATTGTGCTATATTGTGTCAAAGACTCTATCCAATCACCAGAATCCCCATAATGCCACGTCACCTTCTTGAGACTACAATTCTGGCCTCAATCAAGACGACCTTTGCCATTCTCCTAAAGCACTGCACAAAAAAGTCCCATCTGCGTTTGTGGCAAATTCTCTACTAGAGGGCAGAACAAAACCATACAACGACGCGATATTAGGGCATTTCGTGAGAGCTCGCTTATAATTGTCCACGTTTGGGGAGGTGGGGGGCGTTTCAATGCGGTGAAACTTACAGCTCGTTTCATCTGAGCATCTGATAATGGGGATTCCCTCGGCTCCGCAGCTTCAGCCTGCCACAACCAGGAATTCCCAAGAAAACCACCCCGTTGAGCGTGGCGGCTGCGCTACATCAGGATCGCTCCCCTCCCCTTTCCGCCACGCGCTCTGCTCTCTGCTTGGGCCATCCGCCTTGGCCTCGCTTCTGGTAGGGCCTCTCCGCTCTCCTCTGCTCTCACCTTACCCGCCGCAATACTCTCCCCACCATCCCCCACCGAACCAAACCTCACATGACCTACTGTGCCCTGTCCAACCTCGCCTTGCCCACCTCTCCACTGCCTCTTTTCCCCTTACCTCATTCTCCATTGGCCCACGTCCCTCCCCTTTCGACAAGCGACGACTGGTAATTGGAAGGCGAAGGCTCTTTCGTGCTTGTGCGATAGCGATTCTCCTTCCCCGTGTGTCCACTATCCTCGCTGCGCGTAAGTCCGCGATCGTCACATCCCGTGCGTGCGCGATCGTCGCTCAGCCACCTCCGCTCCCGACCATGGAGGACTGCTGCGTGGTGTGCGCCGAGCCGCTTCGCTGGGTGGCCATCGGCCCGTGCCGCCATCGCGACGTGTGCTCCATGTGCGTCGCGCGCCTGCGCATCGTCATGAACGACCGTCGCTGCTGCATATGCAAGCAAGACTGCCCCGCGGTCGTCGTCACCAAGGTATACCGATCCCAACCGAGCTACCCGTCTCTCTCCTCTCGACATCTCCCCCTGCCGTGGTCGTCTTTTCTATCCATTTCGCGTATGAGGCTGGGCACCTGCTAATTCACATCGGTCATCTCCATAACTAGCGAACGCGAATAGGAAGGGGATGAACGATCACCAGTCGTCGCGTACCCTCATAGCTAGCTGACCCAGCTCCTCTGGTGCAGCAGAAGCTTTCTGAATGGACCAATCAAGCAACATTTTAACGCCGGTGCATTCATGTCACCCGTCTTTTCCGTTCCTGCCCCGGTCAGGCTCTCGGCGAGTACACGCGCTGCTCCTACGACTTTTCGATCCTGCCCGGCGCCGTGAAGAAGCCCGGGTTATCGGGAGGCGATTTCTGGTACGAGCCGACTATGCACGCGTATTTCGACGACGAGGACCACTTCAAAACCATGGCCGCCTTGACCCGCCTCGCGTGCCGCGTCTGCCAAGGCGACGCGCCGCCTTCCGCCATGGACGCCGCTGCCGCCGCCGCCGCCACCGCCGCCAGCGCTCGTGCTGATGCGGCAGCCGCTGAGGCCACGTCGGGTGGCGCGGGGGAAGGTTCCGGTCGGGGTGGTGGGGCGGGGGGAAGGGGCGGAAACGGCGGGAAGGGGAGAGGAGGAAAAGGGGGAGGCCGTGGGGGAAAGATGCTGAAGGGTTCTGTCCCGCAGGGCTTTTCTTTCACGCACGTCAATTCGTTAAAGGCGCACCTGCAACAGTCACATCGGCTGGGCATGTGCGATTTGTGCCTGGAGGGTCGCAAGGTGTTCGTGTGCGAGCAGCGGCTGTACACTCGGCGACAGCTCGAGCGACACGCGGCGACGGGCGACGCGGAGCCGGACCGCGAGGCGGAGGCGAGTGAGGTGTGGGGCGGGTTTCGCGGGCACCCGCGTTGCGAATTCTGCGTTAAGAGATTTTACGGCGAGAACGAACTATACCAGCACATGAGCCAGGAGCACTACACGTGTCACATCTGCCAGAGGTGCGCGGGGAGGGGCATTGCGCGGCAGGGGAGGGGAAGAGGCGGAAGGGGAAAGGCAGGGAAGAAGGAACGCAGGAACGGAGAGGGTTGCGGGGTGTGGGGGGTTGGTGGTTGGAAGGGGAAGAGTGGGGGCGTCAGGTCTTGAACTTAAGGGGACTCGGTGGAGGGGCAGGACGGGAAGGAGGGGGGGCTTGGTGTGGGGGGTCGTGGGGGGCTAAACTTGATTGAGAGTGCTATTTTTAGGAAGTTGGGGCTCAGCATTCTTCCCAGCAATCCGCAATCGTCGCTTGTGCCGGTCCAGTCCTTTGAAAGACTTTCCATGGTTGCTCGAGTGTGTGCTTCGATCGCTCTCTCTTCCCCAACCACCAACCAACCCTGGCCTCTCCCCCTTCCGTTCCCTTCCCTCCCGGCCTCTCCGCACCCCCTCGTCCCCTCTTCTCCTCTTCCCCTCTTCCCCGCTTCCCTGCTCTCTCATCGGATGCGTGCCCTTCTCGGTGGAGCAGGGCGCATCCCGGCAGCTATGAGTACTTCCGATCATATGATGACCTCGAGGTGAGCTGATCACTCAAGCGCTATCGCTGTTGCCCCCTTGCCTTGTCCGAGTAATGATTTTTGAGCCGACTCAAAGGGCGCATCCCGGCAGCTATGAGTACTTCCAATCATATGATGACCTCGAGGTGAGTGAGGCCAAAATTCCAGCATTCTCGCTCTTGCCGTTGCCTTTTCCGCCTAGTCCATGTGTGATATTGATACTCCATCCTTGTCCGTGTGTCCATGTCCGTCCTTCGTACTCAAACTCCCCCCCCTGACTTCAATCCGAGCCGTTTTGAGAACGCGGGAAAAAGCCTCAGTATTATCCGTGCCTTTTGCTGCCGCCGGTTGCCGTTCCCTCAGCCCCCAAGCTCCCCAGCCCCCCACCTACCCCCCCTCACCCACCCCTCTTACGCACGCTCGCATTTCCTTTTCCCATTTCTTCCTGCACTCTCTCGGCCAGCATCCTCCCCGTTTCCTCTTCTCACGCGCCTCCCTCTCCCCGTTCGCCCCCCGGCCCTGCTCTCGCGCCCCGTCTTCCCCCGCCCCCCACCCCCCCGCCCTCCGCCTCCCCCTTCTCCTCGGGGTTCCCCCCGCGTGCGCGCGCGCGCGCGCGCGGCAGGCGCACTTCCGCCAGGAGCACCACCTGTGCGAGGACCGCGAGTGCCTGGAGAAGAAGTTTGTGGTCTTCAGCTCCGACCTGGAGCTCAAGCGCCACATAGCCCAGATGCACGCGGGCAACATGAAGCGCGCCGAGCGCAACCGCGTGCTGCAGGTAGGGTGAGGCTAGACAATACGGGGAAGGCGAGGGGGAGGGGAGATGGGAGGAAGTTAGGGGAGGGGAGGGGAGGGAAAGGGAGGGGATAGGGAGGGGATTTAGGGGAGATTGCCTTCCTCAGGCGCCTCAGAGACAGAAGGGGATTATTAGGAAAAAAAGGTAACATCCTTGCTTATGATCCTGCTTTGGTCTCTCTGCCCCAGTTTCTCTGCCCCAGTTTCTCTGCCCCAGTTTCTCTGCCCCAGTCTCTCTGCCCCAGTCTCTCTGCCCCAGTCTCTCGGCCCCAGTCTCTCGGCCCCAGTCTCTCTGCCTTAACCTGCTTCCTTGCTGCACAATGAGAGAAGCAATGGAAGGGACTTCGCCATGCGTTTCTCATTCCGTCTCTTCCTCTGCCTCACTCATTCCGTCTCTTCCTCTGCCTCTCTCATTCCCTTCCACCGTTCTGTCCCCCTTTGCACTCTCTTCCCCCCACCTCCCTTCCCCACCTTCCTTCCTCCTTCCCCAAAATTCCCCACCGTCTTTCTTCGCCCTCTTTCCGCTCCCTGCTCGTCTTTCCCATTCGTCCTTCCCCCCGTCCCCTCTGCTTTTCCTTTCCAGATCCCAGCATCTCAACTATTCAACTTCCACACGCCGCGCACCAACTTCGAAGGACCGGGCTCAGAACCCTTCTCTGCATCCCGCCCCCACATGCCCCTGCTCGCACACGGCCAGGGGGGCAGGGGCGGAGCAGCGGGCGGAGGCAGGGGGGGAAGAGGCCGAGGCGGAGGTCGAGGGGGAAGGCGAGGGGGAGGGGGAGTGAGTGATGGGGATGCGATGACAGCGAGTATAGAGCTTGCAATGGTGGATGCAGCACTGAGGGAATCCGCTGCTGCTGCTGCTGCTGCTGCTGCTGCGGCTGAGCGAGGGGGGCGCGGAGGGAGTGAGAGTAGAGTCGAAGCCTTCCCGTCTCTCTCCTCCAGTGTGCCTGGTACCAGTGCGGATGGAACTGGTCCGGGCGGCAGCAGCGGCAGCGGTGGTGGAGGTGGTGGTGGTAGTGCCGGTGCTGCATATGTGGACAGGGCGCATGCAGGTGCTACGCCAGGGGCTGTGGTGGATGCGTTGTTTCCGCCGCTCCCCAATGCCGCTGGCACTGGGAAGAAGAAGAGCAAGGGGAGAGCATGGGCGGCCGGGGGAGGGGCAGCGGGAGGCACGTCAACCGGCGCAGGCAGCAGCAGCAGCAGCAGCAGCAGCAGCGGCAGCAGAGGGAGTGCAACAGCAGGTGCGGGAGGAGGAGCAGGTGGAGCAGGTGGGGCGACAATGGCTGCTGTTCTCATGGCTGATGCAGGCTGGAGCAGTGTCACTAACCAGGGCTTGGCAGGGGGAGGAGGGGGGAGGAAAGGGGGTAGAGGGAAGAAGGGAACTGGGTGGACAGGGTTGCCTGCAAGGGGGGCAAGGGGCGGCATTCAAGTCCTCAATGCCGCCGGACCTATTGGTCGCCAAGCCAATACGGGAGGCTCGGGGGTGTGGCGGAGCGTTGGGGATGGGGGTGGTGATGGAAGAAGTGGTGGTGGTGGCGGTGGTGGTGGCGGATATGGGGATGGGGGGAGTGGGGATGGATGGGCCATGGTGGGTGTGAGTGGGAGGGAGCATGGCGGTAGAGTGGGGATTGGAGTGGGTGGCAGTGACAGTGGTTTGGCTGTGACCCCCTCTGCTTTCTCTCTCCTGTCTGCTGCAGGCCAGGAGGAGAGTGAGGAAGAGAGTGAGGGGGAGGGTGAGGAAGAAGGGCTTAATGGCAGTACTAATCTATCATCTTTTCCCGGACGGGCAGAACAGTCACGATCAGCAGGAGCAGCACCGGCGGCAGCGGCATGTAAGGAGAATGGTTATTCAGGAAAGGAGGATCAGGAGGAGGAGGATGAGAGCAAGCGGGACGGGCAGCAGCAGCTAGACGAAGCAGAGTTCCGCGCTGCAAACCGGGCGGTGATAGAGGAGATCAGGTCTACCTTTGGAGGTGACAAGAGCAAGTTTGAGGACTTTAAGGATAAGTCGGTGCAGTTTAAGTCGGGGAAGATGGCGACTGTGGTGTTTTATGCGCACCTGTGCCGCTTGGGGATTGGTCATGTGGTGCCTCAGCTCGCCCGGCTGTGCCCGGATGCGAGGAAGAGAGAGGAAATGCTGCAGGCGCATGCACAGAAAGAGGCGATGATGAGAGGGATGGCTGGTGGTGCTGCTGGTGGTGCTGGTGGTGCAGGGGGGGCAAAGCAAGGGAAGAAAGCTTCGTTTTCCTCTTCCTCCTCCTCTTCCTCTTCCTCCTCTTCTTCCTCTTCCTCCTCGTCTTCTGCCCCTTCCATGCCCTCGCTGGCTAGCCATGCTACGCTGAACACTGCTTCTGCAGAGGGTAGCACCAAGCCCGCTGCTGACCAATCAGAGAGCGACAGCTGGGCGTGTGGCATCTGTACGCTCATCAATGAACCGATTGTTCTCTGCTGCGCTGCGTGTGGGTCTGCCAATCCGAGAGCTTGCAAGGGAGCTCCAGCAGGAAAAGGAGCAGGAGGTGTGGGTAGTGGGCAGAGGAGCAAGGGTCGTAAGAACAAGGGTATAACGGTGAGGATGGGTGACGGCTCTGCGGCTGCTCTCCTGGGCCCGCTGAATGGAAGGGAAGCAGAAGCAGAAGCACCAAGTAGCTGGGCTGCTGCTGCAGGTGGAGGCGGAGGTGGTGGTGGAGGCACATCAGGAGGTGCATGGGGTGGGAGAGGTGCTCGGTAGACAGTTGCTAACCGTTGATGTTTTCTTCGTTCCTTGATTCGAATGTCTTCTTCATATCGTTCACTGCAATCATTCTTGGTAGGAAAGGAAACCATTCTTCTGACGGATTGTATTGAGTATTCAGTTGTGAAACATTTTGGATCTTGCAATGCATATACGTAGCCTGTACCGGTTTTTCCTGTACAAATTCCCAACATCGGTGTTATTGCAAACCCTTGGGGTTTGGTTTATTCAAATGCCTTTCTGCAGGCTCGATCGTTATCTCATCGCCGCCATCCACTATACGCACAGCTCGTTATTGCCCCACTCGCTTGCGCAAATCTCTCTCTGCTCGCCATCATTTCCCTTTGATCTCGTCCCTGATGTAGCATAAATGCTTGCTTCCCTGACTACTCCCCCATAGTGTTTCCTTCTTGCACCTCTTCGTGCTGCCGTACTCATATCGTAGATTTCTCAGCTCGAGGTCCCTGGGTTGCTGTGCAAGCCGTGGCGTGCGTTTCTGCTAGCGTTTTCGAAGTTGGTGAGTTGTATTGACGCTTTCTGCTCGTTTTTGTCTGCATTAACGGCTCCTAGCTTTATTGTATGCTTCCTCCCCTCGCTCTCGGGTTGAGTTCATAGAGTAGAGGCATTTGCTGGAGACCGAACAGCGTCAAGAGGCTCTTAAAACCCCGCGCGCTTTGATTCATGGCCGACTGGGGTTACGCAAGTTTCGACATTCCCTGCTCTGCCGCTTGCTTTCCCTCCTTTTTACCTGTCTGTTACGGTATGTTCCTCTGTTCCTTGACGAAGTTCACTTCTCTGTTCACAACAAATCAACCTGTGCTCCCTTTCGCCTCGTCGATTTGTGCCTTGTTGCCTGTGTGTAGCAAGCTACTAGGTTGGGAGGGTAGGCGGCTGAGCAAGGAGCGCCCAGCAACAGCGGTTTTCTTGGACGTGATTTAGGAGTAGGTGGTTAACGCACTTCGGTTGTATGCACGGCTGTAGTGATGTTTTCTGAATATGGCACTTGCCATTAATTTAGAGCAACCTGCATTTACCGTAATCCCCCGTATATAAGACCCTAGGGTCTTAGGATAATCACCCCTAAAAAGGCTGGGCGGTATAATTAAATGGTATATTTTTTAGAAGACCCGGGTCTGTTCATATTGACATTTATAAGAACGCAGTTTTGGAGCTCAAAGAAGTGATTTGGTATTGCTCCGTTTTTAGCTCCTCCCAAAAATACTCGAATTGGTCTCCACACAGGCCGAACCCACGTCATCACGAACCCTATCTAGGAGCCTCAAGGTCACGAAGCGTGGAGCGAAGAGTATCGTGCTACTCACGGGGCGACTGGCGGAGACCGTAGACTGGTTGCCTCAGGCTCCACTGGGTCCCAGGTGGGAAGGTGTCAGTGAAGCCAGGAGGACGGCGCAGCCAGATCTCCTCGTGCAGTCGGCCCTGGAGGAACGCAGTGGAGAAGTCGAGGGAGTGCAGCTCGTAGTCTCGCTGCGCTGCTATGTGGAGTAACACCCGAAGAGTAGTCATCTTCGGGGTCGGGGCGAAGGTCTGGAAGAAGTCAACTCCTTCACGCTGACTGAAGCCCCTAGCCACGTAGCGCGCCTTGAACACCGGCGGTGCTCCAGGCGGCCGCTTCACCATGAAGAGCCACATGCCATCGACTACGTTCGCCCTGGGAGGAGGAACTGCGTCGACGTAGGTGCCTGTGGATCTCCAAGACGCCAACTCTGAGTCCATAGCCGCTTTCCACTGAGAGGCCCACACCCCTGACACTGCCTCGCGGTAAGTGCGAGGAGTCGGTATGTCAAGGGCGTCGGGGTCTCCCTCAGGGGAGAGCAGCATGTCACACACAGAGGGAGAAGCGGCTGCCCAGTACTCCAGCTCAAACTCTCTGTCCTCTAGGACGTCACAGCCAAGGGCAAACCCACCCCCGACGGACAGAGGACGGTAGGGAGGAGCTGGCACCACCCGGGTGGCGTAGTCAAGGCGGCTGGCGGCAGCAAACTCAGCGACAGCGGCAGTAAGAGCCGAGGCAGACGACGGAGGGAAACGAGAGTCAGTGACAAGAGTGGCGAGGACACGTGCGGCAACAGGACGAACAGTGCGGTAGTAGTCAGTTATAGGAGTGGGGAGGGCTGGGAGAGAGGACGGAGGAGGAGACGGGAGAACAGACACAGGAGAACAAGAACGACGACTGGACGAACAAAAGAGGGCAGTGTGGAGGTCAGTAACAGGGGACGAGTGACGAGCACGCGGAGGACAACGAGTGATCAAGTCGTGACGGACAGAGTGAGGAGGAGACCGAGGAGGAGGAGAAGACCAGACCGCCGGACGGTCGTCAGGAGGAGGCAACGGAGGAACAAACACAGGAGGAGACTGGGAGCGGACAGGAGGAGAGGAGGAAAGGCCAAGGGCCCGCAGGCCACTCACAGGTGGGAACAACTGCCGCTCCAGAGGAAGCTGCGGTGGCGGCTGCTGCTGCTGCTGCAACGGTGACTGCGGCCGCTGCTGCTGCGGCTGCGGCTGCTGCTGCTGCGGCTGCTGCTGCTGCTGCTGCCGCTGCTGCTCCAGAAGGTCCAGCACCCGCAGCTCCTGCCGCTCCCTCTCCAACCGCTCCTGCTCCTCACGCTCACGCCGACGGGCAGCCTGGAGACGCGTGTCGTGGCGGTGGGGAGGCGGAGTGGACTCTGCAGAACCAGGGTCTCCAGCGTCAGTCTCCTCAGACTCAGCACCCCCAGAACCAGCACCTCCAGTGCCAGGACCTCCAACTCCAGCACCCCCAGAACTAGCACCGCCAGTGCCAGCACCGCCAACTCCAGCACCCCCAGAACTAGCACCTCCAGTGCCAGCACCTCCAGCTCCAGCACCCCCAGAGCCAGCGCCACCTGCGCCAGCACCTCCAGCTCCAGCACCCCGCGACCGAGCACCCCCAGACCGAGCACCGCCAGCGGCTGCACCTCCAGCTCCAACACCAACCGAGTCCACAGTAACCTGTCGCGGAAGTGCCGAAGGCTGCTGAGGGGACTGTGAGGAGGACTGCGGGGAGGGAGACGCTACCTGACGCGCGACCGAGGGTAGAGGGGTAGCGTGAGACACACCAGACGGGGCAGGAGCAGGGGGGGGCGGGGGTACCGGAGGAGCAGGAGCAGGAGGAGGAGAGGGTGCTAGGAACAGGGGGGGAGGGGGTACCGGGAGACCTCGACAGGGGTACCGGGTGTAGTAGGACACAGACTCGTCAAACCGGACGTCACGGGAGTCTAGGAACTGGTGGAGGGGCGGGTGGTAAAAGGACCAGTCGGCAGAGTCCACTGGGAAACCAAGGAAGACACAGGGGACGGCGCGTGCCGAGAGCTTGTCCGCGGAGGTGTCGCGAACAAGTGCAAGGCAGCCCCAGACTCGAAAGGCCGACCCAACACCAGGGGAACCAGTCCAAAGACTGGTCGGTGAAGCCTCGGGCCGCGAGACACGCGGCTGGAGGTTCAGCTGGTGTGCGGCGTAGCGAACCGCGTGAGGCCACAGAAAATGGGGCGCACGGGCATGGATCATGGACGTGCGGGCGATGTCCATGACCAAGCCTATGCGGCGCTCAGCAACCCCATTCTGCTGTGGGGACTCTGGCAGCGTCCAGGACTGGGTGATGCCCTGTTCGCCGCAGAATCCGCCGAGAATGCCGGAGCGAAACTCGCCCCCACGGTCGGAGTGAAGACAACTGACTCGACGACCACGAGTGCCCTCAGTGGCTAGAAGCCACCTGATCAGCGTAGCAGTCACCTCGGACTTCTTCGCAAGAGGGAACACGGTGGTCTACCTGGAGTAGTCGTCGACGACCACCAGAAAGTAACGCTCTCTCCCAGACCCCTGCGTCGGGGCAGGGCCCCAGACGTCCAAGTGGAGAGTCTCGAAGGGAGCGGTGGCCGGACGAAGGGAGGAGGAGTGGGGAGTGGCGCGTAAGCGACCGGCGACGCACGGAGAGCAAGGAGGGGCAAGCGAGAGAGGGAGCGACGGGAAGGTGCGTGGGAGACCTGTGACAAGTCCCTGACTGAGCATGCCACGAAGGCGAGGGATCGACGGGTGGCCAAGGCGGTGGTGCCACAGGACGGTGCGGTGGGCAAGAGAGCGACAGGAGCAAGACGCAGCGACTGGACTGGACACAGCGATCGGACTGGACACGACTACCTGGCTAGACACAGCAACTGGATTGGGGACCTGGGCCGGAGGCGACGCAGCGACCTGAGGGGAGGACGCGACCGGGGAGCGCTCGGTGTGGAGAACGTACAGACCGGAGCGGGGCTCCCTGGTGAAAGTGGCCAGAACAGCACCTGTAGTAGCGTCAGTACAGACTGCAGTCCGCCCACCCCCCACGAAGGTAACCGTGACCCCCCTGTCCTGGAGGTATCCAACACCCACCAAGTTCCGAGTGAACGAGGGGATGTGGAGGCCGCGCAGGACACCAGAGGGGACCACAGGGCACGGGAGGGTGGTGGAGCTACGCGCAACGGCTGGTCCAGAGGTAGGATCAGCCAGAGCCACCGACACAGGGGTGAGGAGTGGCGTAAGGGTCGTGTGGTCGCGGAAGAAGCACTGAGACGCGCCCGAGTCCAGCGTGAACGACAGAGAGGCCTCAGCCGGAGGGTCACCTGACCCAGTCGCTACACAAGCACCTAGAGCAGCAACACAAGCACCTAAGCTAGACAGGCACAAGGCTACACTAGCAGGAGGCAAGCAGGCTAACCTACGAACACGCGAGCACACAGACCCATCAGCACTAAAGTCAGCATCAACATACAAAGCATGCTGACGCGCATCGTCCATGGACAGATCAAAGACATCAATCTTACGGGCTAACAGGCGAGACCAGCGAGGCGTGACCGCCAGAGGGCCCCAACGAGCCCGGTAGAGGTCGTCGAGGCGGCGGAAGCACCGCGCGGCAGAGTGGTCGTCGCGACCACAGAGACAGGGGCTGCCCGGCCCGGTGAGGCACCAGTGGGTGCAGGGGCCAGCGTCACGGCGAGGGGGGCGAGGGGCCCAGCTGGAAGAGCTGCTGCTGCGGCCGGTGCTCCCAGGGCCTCCCGGACCCCACTGCGGCGGAGGACCCCAGTGCTGCTGCGGACCCCACTGCAGCGGGGGCCCCCACTGCTGGAACTGTTGCGGTGCCTGCTGCTGCTGCTGTCCCTGCTGTGGCTGGTGCTGCTGTGGCTGCTGCTGCTGGGGGACAACGCCCCCACCGGTCGGGCCACCACCTGGGGGTGGGCCTGTCTGTCCTGCACCTCCTCCAAGGCCCCCTCCCCCTGGCGCACCACCGCCGCCGCCTCCGCCGCCGCCTCCGCCACCACCGGCGCTCCCACCTCCACCGCCACCTCCACCGCCCCCACCTCCCCCCTTCCCGCCCTTCTTGCCACTCTTGCCCCGTTTCTGCCAGTCTGCGGCAGAAACGGCAGCGGTGTCCTCAGAGACCGACACAGCAGCAGAAGCGCGGGTAGAGGTGAAAGTGGGAAGCTGAGGGGCGGCACACCCCGCAAAGAGACGGGGGGCCACCGCATCAGTGGCGGAGGCAACGGTGAGGAGGCTGCTCTCGATGGTCCCGAGAGCAGTCTGAAGGAGGTCTATAGTGAGCTCAGTGGGGTGCTTCTGAAGAAGCGCGTCGCGGGCAGTGGCAAGGCGGTCAGGGAGGCGGGTGACTAACCAGTGCACAGTGAGCCACATGGGGGGGGGAGCAACAAGGAGCTGTGCGTCGGTACAGGCTGAACGAAAACCGGCGTCAAGCGAGCGGAGGTGAGTCACTAGGTCGGAAACAGTCGCAAACGAGCCTAGGTCGGGAAACACGAACGGCATGAGGAGGCGACTGAGGGAGGCGGAGGAGGGGGTGGAATAGCGAGCCACAATAGCATCCCAAACCCCCTTGGCTGTCTCCACCTGGTCAAAGTGAGCGGCCTCAGTCGGGGGGAGAAGCTCCGATAGCGTCAGGGCGGCGGCCGCGTCACGAGAGAGCCACACGTCCCGAGCCAGGACCCGACGGTCGTAGTCCGCCTGGGCCGTAGGAGTGGGCTCCGGGGCGGTCGGCAGGGCGGCGGGGGACGGGGGTGCCGCGAGAGCACCCGACGCGTGGGCCCACAGAGTGGCGCCGTCCTGACGCTGGCTGGTGAGGAAACGTGTGGTCTGGCGCTGCCAGGTACCGAACTCGATCGGGCGTCCCTCAGCATCGAAACGGAGGCGACGAGCCTCCATAGCGGAGCCCATGCTAGAGGCGACTGGAGCACGGCGGAGGCGAAGCTAAGAACGAGGAGGAAAACTACGGAGGGCTAGGGACGCCAGCGGGGAAAACGACGAGAGACAGTCGGCGAGAAAATAGTCGTGGGGCGGGGCTCTAACCGAACCTAGGTGGCGCTACCAGAGGGAAGAGCGGCTGCCAGCCGCTGAGCCGGGAGCCAAGTGCAGTAGGAATGGCGTGGGACCGGTGCACAGGTGAAGGGGAGAGAGATGCAGTAAGCGCACAGAGTGATGCGGTAAGCGCACGCAGGTGTGCGGTAAGTGCACGCAGGTGTGCGGTAAGGGCACGCAGGTGTGCGGGAAGCGCACGCAGGTGTGCGGGAAGCGCACACAGAGTGATGCGGTAATTGCACGCAGGTGTGCGGTAAGCGCACGCAGGTGTGCGGTAAGCGCACGCTGGTGTGCGGGAAGCGTTGACGGAGGAGGGCGCGCGACAGGCGGAGGGGAGGGCACGCGACGATCTAAGGAGGGCGCGCGACGGTTGAGGAGGGCGCGCGACGATGAGGGAGGGCGCGCGGCGGTCTAAGGAGGGCGCACGACGGTTTTGGAGGGCGCGCAACGGTGGGGGAGGGCGCGCGGAGGTCTAAGGAGGGCGCGCGGAGGTCTAAGGAGGGCGCGCGACAGGCTGGACGGCGCGGGAGGGCGCGGGCTAGGCGCGAGGAGGGCGCGGAGGGCGCGGAGGGCGCGGAGGGCGCGAGAACACGGAGGGCGCGTAGGGCGTGGAGGCTAGTTAAAAAAAAACGAACGAGGATCTAACCTACTCGTGATACCATCTCAGAATAGGAATGCAACGGAATGAATGAAACTAGGAAGTGTGGAAGTACAAATATGCAACCCTAACAACTGTACTCCCTATTGTGCTTCTCACTGTAGCCTACAAGCATAGAATTACATTTGACAATTGTGTAGTCGTCACTCAACATCGGTTGGATCGTGCGACAACCAACCCATCTGAGCGTGAAAAAACCACCCAAGTGTGAGCTATTCTTGAGATAGTAATAATCAACCAATATATTGCACTTGGTAGCGTCGGTAGCGCTCGGTAGCGCTACCGTTTCGCTAGACGACGCTACCGAGTGAGTCAGCAAGCTGACCGCGGGCAAAAAAAAAAACCCCATGGGCATGCCATTCGGGAGCCTCAACCCAAAAATTTTAGGGTTGAGGCTCCCTCGGATGGCATGCCATCCGGATGGGTTTTAGTTTTTTTCTTGCCCGCGGTCAGCTTGCTGACTCGATTGCACTGCCTGCTTACGCAGGCAGTGCGATATATATTCCAGAAAACTCCTTCCCTTCCCTCATTTAGCTCCTCCTCTCGCCGCGCTTCCCATTTCCGCATTTCCCCGCCCATCGTCGCGCCACCCGCTGTCGCGCCAACGATCCTTTCGTCGCGAATCCTCTCGTGCCTCGCCTCCCATAGTCGCGCCTCCTCGCCGCGCCTCCCGTCGTCGCGCCTCCCGTCGTTTCTGGGAGCCTCCACTTGTCGCGCCTCCGCTCGCCTCGTCGCCCCTCTGCTCGCCTCGTCGCGCCTCCGCTCGCCTCGCCGCGCCTCCGCTCTCCTCGCCGCGCCTGCGCTCGCCTCCGCGCGCCTCCTCTCGCCTCGTCGCGCTTCCTCTCGCCTCGTCGCGCCTCTGCTTGCCTCGTCGCGCTTCCGCTCGCCTCGCCGCGCCTCCGCTCGCCTCGCCGCGCCTCCCTGCCATCAGCGCGCCAACACCCTCATTTCCTCCCCCCCTTCCCCTCATTTCCCCCGCTCCTTCCCCTCATTTCTCTCCCTGCTTCCCTTCATTTCCCTTCCTGCTTCTCCTCATTTCCCTCCCTGCTTCCCCTCGTTTCCCCCCCTGCTTTCCCTCATTTCCCCCGTTGATTCCCCTCATTTCCCTCCCTGCATCTCCTCATTTCCCTTCCTGCTTCTCCTCATTTCCCTCCCTGCTTCCCCTCGTTTCCCCCCCTGCTTCCCCTCATTTCCCCCGTTGATTCCCCTCATTTCCCCCCTTGATTCCCCTCATTTCTCTCCCTGCTTCCCCTCATTTCCCTCCCTGCTTCTCCTCATTTCCCCCCTTGATTCCCCTCTTTTCTCTCCTTGCTTCCCCTCATTTCCCTCCCTGCTTCCCCTCATTTCCCCCCTTGATTCTCCTCGTTTCCCTCCCTGCTTCTCCTCATTTCCCCCCTTGATTCCCCTCATATCCCTTCTTGCTTCTCCTCCCCCCTGCTTCCCCTCATATCCACCCTTGCTTCTCCTCAATTCCCCCTCTGTTTCCCCATGTTACCCCCTTTGCTTCCCCTCATTCCCCCCTTTGATTTCTCTCGTTTTCCCTCCTCCTTCCCCTCATTTGCCTCGCTGGTTCCCCTCATTTACCCTCCCTGATTCACCTCATTTCCCTCCCTATTTTCCTGTTTGTACCCTCCTGCTTCTCCTCATTTCACTCCATTGCTTCTCATCATTTCCCTCTGTTGCTTCTCCTCATTTCCCAGGAATTCCCCCTCTGTTTCCGCTCGTTTCCCCACCTGCTACGGTAAACCTTCGTTTCCCCCTCTTCCTTCCCTCGTTTCATCTTCCAATTTCCCCCGTTCCCTCTTTCCCTTTGTCCCTATCCTCCCTCTTCCTAAGGTATTTCCTTCTTTCCCTCTCACCCTCTTCCTTTCACCTCCTTTCCCTTCCCCCCTGCTTCCCTCTTCCCCCTCTTCCCTATCTCCCCTATCTCCGCACTTCTCATCTCTCTGTTTGACCTTTTTCCTTGTTCCCCCTCACCATCCCTCGTAATCTCTCTCGCTACCTGGCTATTGCAGTGACTACACTGAAGCTTTTTTCTGGTACCGGTACTTCAACTGCCTCAGCCCATCTTCCATGCCATGCTCTTAGCGTAACCTGTTCCCCTCATGGTTTTTTCAAGGCCTTGAGAAAGGTTCAGTTGTATTGTTCATGGTTTTTCTCTTAGTGTCCATGCATCTTGGAAAAATATCTTGCACTGCAAAAATAAAAGTACATGGAGAGCCTTTGCGATGCATATCGCCAACAGTAATACAGTATCATGCTTGCATACAACACACAAGAAACAGGTGGTAAGGCAATGTAAAGCATTGACTGGCTGGGCCTCAACTTGCAACTGATGCTCCTTTGCCTCACCACTGAGAGAGGGGAGAAAGAAAGAAAGAATTGCGTGAAGAAACATGGGGGAGGTGGTGTGAGGTGTAACGGAACAATGGCAGGGGAATACAAGCAAGCGCACATGATGAAAGCATGAATGGGGAAATAGAGATGGGTGCACATGCATGGGAAGTAGAGGGCAGAAGGTGAGGAGTAAGGGGGAAGGGGAGGGCATGAAAAGGAGTTGATGGGGAAGGGAAGGCTTGAGAAGGGAAGGGGACATGGGGAAGTAGGGAAGGGGATGGGGGGAAGCAGGGAAGGGGATGGTGGGAAGCAGGGAAGGGGATGGGGGGAAGTAGGGAAGGGGATGGGGGGAAGCAGGGAAAGGGACATGGGAAAGCAGGGAAGGGGACGGGGGGAAGCAGGGAATGGGATGGGGGGAAGCAGGGATGGGGATGGGGGGAAGCAGGGAAGGGGACATGGGAAAGCAGGGAAGGGGACGGGGGGAAGAAGGGAATGGGATGGGGGGAAGCAGGGAAGGGGATGGGGGAAATCAGGGAATGGGATGGGGGGAAGCAGGGAAAGGGATGGGGAGAAAAAGGGTAGGGGATGGGGGGAAGCAGGGAAAGGGATACGGGGAAGTAGGGAAGGGGATGGGGGGTAGCAGGGAAGGGGATGGGGGGAAGCAGGGAAGGGGACATGGGGAAGTAGGGAAGGGGATGGGGGGAAGCAGGGAAGGGGATGGTGGGAAGCAGGGAAGGGGATGGGGGGAAGTAGGGAAGGGGATGGGGGGAAGCAGGGAAGGGGACATGGGAAAGCAGGGAAGGGGACGGGGGGAAGCAGGGAATGGGATGGGGGGAAGCAGGGAAGGGGGATGGGGGAAAGCAGGGAATGGGATGGGGGGAAGCAGGGAAAGGGATGGGGAGAAAAAGGGTAGGGGATGGGGGGAAGCAGGGAAAGGGACATGGGGAAGTAGGGAAGGGGATGGGGGGTAGCAGGGAAGGGGATGGGGGGAAGCAGGGAAAGGAACATGGGAAAGCAGGGAAAGGGAAAGGAAGGGTGTGTGCGGGTTGGAAAGGGGGCGTGACAAGTGTGGGAGTTGGGAAGGGAGAAGGGAGGGATGGCGACAGTGACGGGGATGCCAGGGCGACGAGGGGAGAGAGATACGGGGATTGCGAGGGGACGGGCGGGAGGGAGGGCGACGAGCAGCAGGGAGCGCGACGAGACAAAGGGGGGCAATGGGCGGAAGGGAGCGTGACGAGGGGAAGGTAGGGCGGCGGGCGGTCGGGAGGACAATGAGAGGAAGGGAGGGCGACGAGACGAAGGGAGGGCGACGGGCGGAAGGGAGGGCGACGGGCGGAAGGGAGGGCGACGGGCGGAAGGGAGGGCGACGGGCGGAAGGGAGGGCGACGGGCGGAAGGGAGGGCGACGGGCGGAAGGGGATGCGACGAGCGCTAGGGAGTGCGACGGGCGGAAGGGAGGGCGACGGCGGAAGGGAGTGCAACGCGCGCTAGGGAGGGCGACGGGCATAAGGTAGGGCGACGGTTGAGGGGAGATCGATGGGCGTAAGGGAGTGCGACGGGCGGAAGGGAGTGCAGGCACGCGGAAGGGAGTGCAGGCACGCGGAAGGTAGTGCGACGGGCGGAAGCGGGTGCGTCGAGAAGTTGGCAAGCGTCTTGAAGACAGGCAAGCGCCCGTTCCTTGCGCTTCGCACGTAGATGTGAGCGCCCGCGTCCCTACAGAATTGGGCGTTTCACGTGACGTTTTTCTTTATGCTGGCTTTTTTTTTTATGGAGAAAAACACACAGGCTGCTGCAAGGATACAGACAGCTCGCTGCCATTGTGAAAATTAGAGCTAACGCGCTCTTGTGGTCCTGAATAGCGGAGTAGACTACGTGTCTGTGCTTGAATATGGTTGCACGTTAGTACAACTTGGTTTTCAAGTTTACTGAATGTGAACAGTGCTCCATCTCCCGTGGACACTTCACTCCGAAGACTTGTTTTGTCGCTGGCCAATCATGCATCAGGGTTGCAAAACATCTCCTCTGTGAAGCGACGGAATGCTTCACTTCGGGTGGTAACTTGGTTTTTGGCGAGTTCATATTCAAGAATCTTGAATTTGAAAACAGCCATGTAGAACTCGGGCTTTAATCGAAAATGGACTCTAGCTTTGTTCAGCCTTAGTTTTTCAGTGAGGCTGATTAGTCAGCCTTTTTTTTAACCAGGACACTGATTTCTCAGATTTTTTTTTAGGTACAACACTGACTGTTCAGCCTAGGCAAAAACGAATCTGAGGCCCTGGTTAGGAGTCATTTAGGGGGGTACAACTCAGACGTACTCGAATAGAGTACCCGGGTCCGTATTATACGGTAGACCCGGGACCCGGTGTCAGAATGTAATTGTATGCATTATCTTAACTGCCTGTAGTGTAAACCTAGTGTAGTTCTATGTTCTTGTTTGGTGGTGCACCCTCATGTTCTTTCCTATTTGTTCTCTCAATTCTGTTTAGTGAACACATTTTTCTCCTTTGCTAATCTCGCTTGCTACTTTCAACACCCCGAACCGTAGCCATGGTTTCTTAGCCTAATCTCACGACACCCGGGGGTCTACAACTTGGGGGGGTCCTATATACGGGGGATTACGGTATCCATTCTAAAATCAATCTCAACAAACTGGAAGCGTCCATGTGCAGCAACATAAATCAACAGGGCAAGTGGACTGGACCTGCAGTTTTAGCTGGGTCGCTTTAGAAGCGTGTGCTCGCAGGTTCCACCTCTCTTGGCCGTGGCACTCTCTGAGAGTGGAATGATAGAACCTCCACGGGGGTGGAGTCCATATGACCTACAGCAGGGTGTTAAACCTGGAGGGCTTTTCCAGGCTCCTCCTCTGGATATGTAACTGTACATCGTAAAGACACGTACAGCAAAAAATAATTTACAACCTCAGGGCAATAACACACACAAAAATATGGAAGCTAGCACTGTTCGCATGTGCAATGAAGTGTCACCGCACAGTACCATCATCAAGTACTAGTGGTATGGATTAATCACCATACTCGCAACAGAATTTAGATCCGTAACAACTCTGGCAGAAAGTGGAGCATTAGCCCTGCTCTTCCTCTGCACGCGCTGCTGCAGCTCCAGTCTTGCTGCTACTAGCGCCTCCTCCCTAGCCCACTTCTCCCCTCTCCCTCCCACCATCCCCATCCCCATCCCCATCCCCATTCCCATTCCCATTCCCTCCATACCACCATGTCCCATCATCCCCGCCATCTGCTGCTGCTGCTGCAGCAGGCGCAGAGCAGCAGACGGGCTGTTAGACCGAGACCCGCCACCACCATTGCTCTCATCCCACAGGGCCTCCCGCACTCCTATAGGCACAGCCGCAGCCGCCGCTGCCGCTGCAGCAGCAGTCGCAGACAGATTGCTGGACTGTCGGCGCCCAAGGGAGCTCATAGACTTGCTCCCAGGACCATACATCAGAGACGAATTGCCTCCTGCTGCTGCTGCTACTGCTGCTGACGCAGCAGCTTCCCCGTTCCGGCCCATGCCAGCAGCATTCATCCCATGGCTGCTAAGCCCACTGGCTCCCAGGCCGGTCTGGTAAGACGGGCTGTGGGACCGCACAGGGGAGTTCGAGTGCGAGAGGGAGTGGGAGTGTGAGTGTGAGTGTGCGTGTGAGGAGCGAGTGTGGGTGTGTGAGTAGGAGCGTCGAGCCACGTCCGCATGCCCGTCAAGCTCCTCCCCACTGCTGCCGTTGCCACTGCCGCCGCCGCCGCTGCCGCCTCTCTCGCGCTGCTTCTGCTGCTCCCGGTGCAGCCTGCTGCGGCTGAGCTCGTGAGAGTGGGAGCGAGATGCCTTCTCGGGCAGAAGCATCCTGCCCGACCCGTGAGGCCACAAAATGGCTCCATAGACAGACGGACCCCCCTCTTGGTCAAATCCAGGATCCATCAATTCATCTGCACCACCACCACCACCACCACCAATACCAGCAGCCATGGCTGATTCTCTCAGCCTATGTGGCACTGGCGAGACTTTCCTGACTTGCCCTCCTTCCTTCATGCCCATGCCTAAGCCCATGCCACAGCTGTCGTAGCTCCCGTTGGTGCCGGCAGCAGCGGCATGTGTTGCTCGTGCCATCAATTGCTGCTGCTCCTGGTACTGCTGCTGCTGCTCTTCCTGCTGCTGCTGCTGCTGCAAGAGCAGCTGGTGCTGCAGCTGCATGCTTGGCAACATGCCGTCCTGGTGCAACCCTGCACCCAGCAAAACGCCCGAAGCAGCTCCTCCTGCTGCTCCTCCTCCTCCTCCTCCTAGTCCCCCTACTCCCCGTCCTCCTACTGCTCTCGCTGCCCCCTGCGCTGCAGCTAACGTGGCGGCATACGCTGCTTCTGCTGCTGCTGCCGCTGCCGCCGCCGCTGCTGCTGCAGCAGAAGGGTTTGTCGACGTGACCCCTGGGTGGACGCAAGCAACCAGAAACAGAAGCAGTGGGCGGGAAAGAAGGGAGGAGAGGAGACAGGGTGAGGCAACATGCGATTGTCAGAGTGGCTCTTAGAAAATGCATGAAGACTGCAACAACAGCAAGCAACAAGCAAAGCAACAGCAGCAGCGGCAGAATCAGCAGCAGCAGGGGCGGCAATGGGACCTTCACCAAAAAGGACCTTCACCACCCGACCCACCAGCAGCAGTGGCATCAGAAAGCAGGTTGCTGCTGCTGATACTGTTGCTGTAACGGTCAGCATGAGAGAGAGTGCTACGGCGCCGGCGGCCGCTCTGGCAGCATTGTTGCTCCAAGGACGAGAGGGAGGAAGAGGAGGAGGAGGAGAGCGAGATGAGAGCAGGAAGGTGGGATGCTACTGCATCCTCCTCTTCAGACGACTCCTTGCTCCCAAACGCACCCCCTCTTCCTCCTCCCCACCCTGCTGCTCCTGCTGTGGCAGCTGCGGCTGCGGCTGCTGTTACTGCAGTGGCAGCAGCAGCCCCTACGGAACCAGAATAAAGCAGGGAATTCGGAAACTGACCTTCGTTGGTCACTGCTTGTGGGAGCGAAGACGGAGAGCCGAACGCGTTGAGCTGCTGCTGTTGCTGCTGCTGCTGTCGTGGTGGTGATTTCCCCTGCTGGTGCTGCTCCAGAGTCTGCTGCAGCAGCTGCTGCCGCTGCTGGTGCTGCTGCTCGCGCTGCTGCTGCTGCTGCTCCAGCTGCTGCAGCTGCATCTGCAGCTGCTCCTGCTGCGCCTGCAGGGCTTGCAGCTGAGCCGTTAGCGAGTTGGACACAACAGGAAGAGGACCCGAGTGGTGCACCCGGTCCCCCCCCCTCACTCTCTCCCCCACTCCTTCCAAAGAGAACTCTCCAGACAGCCTCCTGTGTCGCCGCGACAGGCGTTTCTCCTTCCCACCTCCCAGTCCTGCAGCACTCCCAACCTCTACCAGGCCCATGACTCCCCCTCCCTCTCTCCACACCAGCTCCCCCCCCACCCCCGTCCCCGCTCTCACACCAGAAGCACACGCCCCATCCGCCCTTCTCCCCAGGGGCGAAACCCGCCGCGCTGCCCCTTCCCCTTCGCCTTTCCCGTCCCCTTTCCCTTCCCCAGCAGCAGTGACAGCACCAGAGAGGCCGTATTGACCCAACGGACCAAGAGCACCTACCTGCTCCACCCACTGCTGCACATACGGCACCTGTGAATCCAAATCTGCTCGCTCCTCCCCACGACCATTACCTTTCAAGACGCCTTTAGTCAACAGGCCGCTCCTTGGGTCCTGCTGCTGCTGCTGCTGCTGCTGGCGCCGGTGGTGGCGGTGGTGGTGAGAAGAGGAGGAAGTGGAGAAACCTGGCATTGCTGCGACTGCTGCTGCAGCGGCTGCGGCGGCGGCAGCGGCAGCAGTGGCTTCAGCTGCTTTCCGCTCGCGCCTGCGCTCCCTCCGTTCCTCGTGAGTTAATCCGCCGCTGCTGCCGCCGCTGCTCCTGCTCAGATCGCTCCTGCCCTCGCCGCCTTCCCCGCCCCGCGCTTCCCTGTGCCTGCTCGCGCTACCGCTCCTCCTACTGCCGTTGCTGCTGTCTCTCTCCCTCTCCTTCCTCTCCCCCCTCTCTCTCTCCCTCTCCTTCCTCACCTCCCTCTCCATTTCCCTCTCCTTCTTCTCCCTCTCCCTCTCCCTCTCCCTCTCCTCCACCCTCTGTCTTTCTCTAGCTCGCTCTTCCTCTATCTCCCTCTCTCGCGTCTCCCGAACAGCAGCCAGAGCAGCCTGGGCACCTAGCAACCCCTCTTCCATGCTCTTCTGCCTCTCCCTCCGCCTCCTCTGCTCCTCCTTCTCCTGCTCCTTCTTTCCAGCCTCCTTCGCCCCACCATCGGCCCCTCGCTCAGCTGCATTGGCTACCCCATTCGCCATCACTCCATTCCCCTCAGAAGCCGCTGCTGCTGCTGCTGCTGCTGTCGGCGGTGCAGCAGGGGAATCGCCTCGAGACTTAGATTCCTTAAGCTTCCTCTCCGCATTATCCGCTATCTCCTCCTCCCCCTCATCCTCCTCGTCTCCCTCCTCCTCCTCCCCCTCGTCGTCTTCCTCGTCGCGCCGTGAGCCTTTTACCGGGCTTCTGTTAGCTGCACCGGCACCAGCTTTCACCTGACCCTCAGGTGACGAAGGCGATGACGTGGCTGCAGCAGCAGCTCCTCCTCCTCCTCCTCCTGCTGCTGCTGCTGCTGCTGCTGACGATGCCACTTTTGCTGCCGCCGGTGTTGCGCGGGCTGCACCAGAGACCCGCTTGCTCCCCGTCTCTTCCTCACTCTCCTCCCCTTCCTCGCCTTCGCTCCCCTCCTCCTCCTCCTCCCCCTCCTCCTCATCTTCACTCCCCTCCTCCTCGTCCGAATCCACTATCGGCGGCCTCCCCCCGCCTCTCCCCGCGCCAGCTCCGCCTGCCCTTTGCGCGGCTGCGGCGGGAGCCGCCGCCGGCGCAGCCGGTGCCGCCGCTCCTTCCGGAGCCAGCACGCCGTACTTAACTAGCTGCTCTTTAAGCTTCGGGAAATTAACAGGCTTCGCAAGAAACCCATCCATTCCCGCGGCCGCGCACCGCTCCTGGTCCGCGGCTAGCGCGTTCGCGGTCACCGCGATAATCGGCGTGCGCGGGCGGAAATCCCCGCCTTCGCTTCCGCCTTCCGCCGCCGCGCCGTCCCCAGGGCTCCAGTTCGCCGCGCCCTCCTTCTCGTTCCCCGCGGGGGCGCCAGAGGCGCGCGCTTTCTGAATGGCTTCGCGCGGAAACACGCCCGTGCGCTCGTACTCGCGGATGAGACAAGTGGCAGTCAACCCGTCCATGAGCGGCATGCATATATCGGAGAGGATAATATCGAACTTGGTCTTCTCGACTGCTTCGACCGCCTCGACGCCGTTTTTGGCGACCACGGGCTTTAAGGCGAGGCGCTTGAGCATTGACAGTAGAACCATGACGTTGACCTGCCGGGGTGGGGCGGGATGAGACGGGGTGAGACGGGTGCGACGGGGTGAGACGGGGTGAGACTTGGTGATATTGGGTGAAACAGGAGGCGGGGATAGGGAGGAGAAAGGGGGAATGAGGGAGAACGCAGCACAAGGAAGGTGAGTGGAGGCTGGGTAAGTGCGAAGCGACGAGGGAGCAAGTGCGCGGACGAGGCCGAGAAACCCCGAGATTTTCGACGCGGAAGTCAATAGATTGAGAGAGAAAGGCCACGAGAGATCAGGGACGGGAAATGAGAAAGGAACCGACGGAGAGAGGAGTTAGGAAGCGGAGGAGGAGGTGTGGGGGGGGTGGGAGGGGGGGGAGGGGAGGGGAGGAGGGGGGAGGGAAGAGCGAGAGTACTAACGGGATTATCTTCCGCCACCAGGACTTTCACTTCACTCGGCGGCTTCACTTCGCCGCCGCCGCCGCCGCCCGCGCCAGGATCCGCCATGGCTCAGGAGCCTCTGGGGAGGTTAGCAGCGGAACGCGTAGTGGAGCGAGCAGGCACGCTCGCTCGCGCGCCTCTCACGGCAACGGCAGAAGGGCAGTAGCTTAAGCGCAGTGGCTTCCTCCGGGCACTCGAACCGCAACAGTAATTCAAAAGAGTAGCTCCAGACGGCTCAAAAGGGTGGAATGGATTCCGAGCCGCGCCACTGGTCAACGGCTATTTCCGTGCTCTGGTTTTCAGGACTTCGTTTGTTCGGGACTCGGGTCTTCGAGGCTCTGCTTTCGGATGATATGCTCCGGTTCTAGCAGGTGGATTGCGTGACGGACGGACGAACCGAGACTGATCAGGCGAAAAGGAGATAATGCACTGACCAGCGATGCCACGTGCAGGGTTCTGGGACGTGGAACGATATGGTTGACACCAGGAGAGAATCTAAGTTGGTGGAGCCTGAAAACGCGCCCTAAGAGCGAGTTATGGAGTCCGAGGTTGAGACTGCAGGAAGATACAGATATCGCAGGGGTACTACGCACGAATGCGTTGTGCTCGTCGTACGCGCCTCGAGTATAAGGTGCTACCGCTGGTGGTTTATGCTATCAAACGACGCTCCTCCGACGCTTGTTCAGAGGCTGAGTGGGTGGTGAATAAAATGGCTGCTGTTGCGCTGGAGTAACTCTAGAATCTGGGTCTCCCTGATTTGAGGAGAGTGGGCATGTACGAATCGGAGCGGAGGAGGGCGGCGAGGGGCATGCGAGGCGCTGTGAGCGCCGGGCAATGCGCGGGGTTGGTTTTAGAAGCCGCTGATTGGGTATGGTGGATGGTAAGTGTAGTGATGTCGTGGCGTGGTTTCAACGAACCTTCTAAACGCATTCCGTTGGTGAGCAATGGCGGAAGCGTGGGTACAGGGGGGCGACGCGCACTTGAGAGAAAAGTACGGACGAGGAGCGTGCGGGAGTGGAATGCTGAAGGGAGCAAAGTGAAGCAGCAGTAGGTGGAGGGAAATGCAAATGTAGGCTGGGCTGTTCTGCACAGCGAATATGTGAGAGGTGGGAGGGAAGCAACAACGGGGTTGAGGCGACGCGAGGTGAGTGAGTGTGCGGTGGGCATGAAAGCCAAGGCTAGCTCATGCCGAGAATGGGCGGTTGATTTGATTCAAGGAAATGTGTACGTAACCCACACGACAGGCTGGACCGAGTTCGTTTGGACAGCGAGAAAAGCGTGACCTCATGAAAGAGTTCTCATACCGGCTGATTGGATTCTGGTCTAGACTTGTTAGGTTGGGAAAGGTGGGGGGAATCTGCTGAAAAAGTGAGGTGGTTCAAGTCGAGACGAGACCCGAGAAGAACGAAGCGAGGAAGGTAGCGTCGTGCACATTACTCGGTGTGGAAGGCAGGGCAGGGCAAGGCACCCCTTGATGGATGCAAGCAAGGGCGAAGTCAGGAGGATGGAGGTGGATTGAGGGAGGGGAGGGGAGGAAAAGCACGGGCGGGAAACATTTTTTGCGTCAATCCCAAGGTCTGTGGTCTGTGGGATGGGGGGGAGGGGAGGCGAGCGAAAGAGGTAGGGAGGAAGGCAGGGGCACGCGGCGTGGCCCATAATAATGAGACTGTACTACTGTACTAACTAACGGATGGATGATGTGGAAGGGTCACGTCCGAACAGTTCAGATGCGGTCGACACCGCAATTACAACCAGCGCCAACTCATCTGGGCTTTGTCAAAGGTGGCTGACTGCCTGTGCCAGGGCGTGCAGATTTCTGGGGACGAATTCCAGGGAGAGGAGATTTTGCAAGAAATTCTGGGCAGAACGAATGGGTGTCTCTAAATACAAGTAACCACCGCTATTTTCTTTCGGTCTATTTTCAACCCCACTTGCACAAGTGGGGTATGCACCCTTTCTAAATCTTTGACCGAGGGTTGTGTGGGGCATCATTAGATTTTAGCGAGAGTCTGTTCCAGATCCCCGAAGAGAGTACTGTAGAAGTGGCGCTATGGATTCAGATTCGCATAATGAGTTTAAACTTCGAGCATTAGGCGTCATTCATAGCCCCAGTTATCTAAGTGTCGAACTGAAATAGTCGACAACGTGCAGGGTACTTTGAAACGCGAGATTCGTGGGTTGGGTTTCCCCTTGAAAATAGCGGTGGTTAGGTCCCGAGGATTTAAGCGAGAAATGTCGTGTACCTCAAATGGTGTAGCAAGGGCAGATGTAACACTGAATCTGTACTGTAGCTTGTTGTGGTACAGAGAGGAGGAGGGGGAGCTGTATGAGTTGACAGTTGGGCACGCCCTGACGCAGCGCAGCTCTCTCTGACAAGTTGTCTCGCAGCAGGCGCGCATTGGCCAAAAATACTGGGACGGATTTTGTGAGGGAAGCTGACCGAGTGCGGGAAAGCATCCCACCCAAGCTCAGAGCCTTCCCCTCGCCACACGGATTCTGTAAGATACATTTTGCTTTAGGATTCAATACATGACATAATATATTCGCTGTTGTATACATGACATAAGAGACAGATTTCGCGCTTCTTTGGAAAGGTCAGGACCAGGCTGGTTCTGACGGTAGCCCGAACTGTGAAAACGATGATTCCTTGTGGCAAAGTTCTTGTTACCTAGAGGAAAATACGCTGGGATCTGTATTTACGCGGGCTGGTTTTTTTTTTTTCCTTTAGAGTCGAAGGGGTTCTGGCCTGGTGTATCACTCAATCCACTCCACACAACGAGCCCATGTGGGATGGGAAGGGGGGTATTCATTGCCGTGCAGTTGAGGGACGCTCGGAAGCCACAAAACGGCCAGAAGGATCCAAAATTTGTTTTTGAGTCGTTAGCAGGGCCTACATGTGTCACGTGCCCAATTGACCAATTCATACATCTGTTTGTGCACACGTCGGTTTGTGTGGAGACGGAATACAGACCAAACCCATTTGCAAGGTAAGTGAAACGGCAAGTGACTGCTCTCGTCTCGTTGCTGTGGGTGGGTGTGGTTTCATTCAATCCGTCCGTAATGACAGCATTTACTGCATGCGCATTGCGTATCTGTCCAAGATATCTGCAAACGTATTCCCGATAAGGTGTGACTTCCATCCTCCCGATAGTAAATTATCATCATAATTGTCATTGATCTCGAAGTAGCTACGCGACTTTACTGTAAAGAGGTGAGTTTACTGTACCGACTTCACCCGTCTCCTCCTTGCATAGTTCTTAGTTGCTCTCCCATGCCAGGGTGGCTTTCCAGTTAGCTGTACCAAATTATGTACTGTCAACTCTGAGTTCACAGGCCAAGGCATGAATCAGGGAAATAAATACCATAAGGCTCCGCTGACGCTGCACTGCACACATGGTTGGTATATCTGAGAAAATGGCTGGTATACACAACAGCTGAAATTTCCTTGAAAGAATAAAGGCGTATTCCTGGCTTTGTGTCATCCGAAATTGTGGGATCCAATCGGAAAATTCAAAGCTCGAAACGCGGGATTTGCGATTGGCTCCCACAATTTCGGATGACACCAATACGGGATGACACGAAGCTAGGAATACGCCCTAAGCCTGTAGGTAGAAGTAGGTACACACACTGCTGCTGTCATGCCGCAACTGGTATCCGTATTCTGATCCCTCCATTTATTGTTAGTGCTGAGATCACTAACAGCTACCCTTTTCCCGTGCTTCCGACCACCTCTTCCGTTCACTCAGTACAATCATGCGCCCTCCTCGTTCACCTGTATACAACCCCCCTGCACACTCGCCCTTGCACTCGCACTCACATCCTTACTCTCCACATTATCTCCACCCAACTCTCCTCTACTCTCCACTCCCCCACGTCCACCTCCTCCCACCCGCCAAAACCACTGCGTGCCTGCATCTAATTGGCATGCAGAAGTGCCTGCATGGTTTGTCATCCAGTCACTCTCACTCTTCCATCGCCATTTACTCCTTCCCTCACTACCACCCCCCAATTCGGCCTGTCCAGCACTCCCCACCTTCGGCTTCACACTTTCCTCGTCTCCCATTTCCCTACCAGCCATCTCTTCTTGCCAGATATTCTCCTCCATTGGTTCAACACCTATCCTGCTTCCCCCGCTCCAGCCGTCCTCCCCATCCCTCCCACCCCTCTTTCTCCCTTCAATTCCGCCTGACGAAAAACCCAACTCCTCTTCCCTGCCGCACCCTCCCCCCTGCTCTGCTTCCGCTTCTTCCTCCTGCAAATCCCTCCGCACCCTTTGCTTCCTCCTCGCCCTGCCCAACCCAGCCCCACGCATGCTGCCGCCACCAGACTTGCACGCTGCTGATTCTGCTGCACCTTCTACCACTCGTCTTGGAACCTCACAACGTGTAACTCCTGAATGGTGCTCTTCACAATTCTCTGTCTGCATCTCTGCCTTCCCCTGAGCCTCCACCTTCCCCTGTCCTGCGAATGCTGACGCCCCCACTTCCCCACCCCTCTCTTCCCCGACAGAACCACGCCCTGTGTCCATCAGAGGCTCATGGGAACCACCAGGCCAGCGAAAGCTGGGCGGCACAAGGGGGAAAGGACAGGCAGCAGGGAACCCGAACACGACCGAGGCCTGGAAATGGCAAGGACGAGCGTCTGCGACGTCAGCAGCATGCGGATGCGCGCTGCCTGCTTGGTTACCAGCGGCCGCTGGTGTCGCGAAAAAGGCGGGCGGTGCGGCTGCTGTTGCTGTTGCTGCTGCTGCCGTATGACAATGACGCAACCCCCCAGAAGGCGCTGGTACAGTAGGTGAGGCGAGAGTATTAGGCAGGACCAGGGAGGTGAGAGGACACGGGGTGAAAAAGGGTTGTTGCTGCTGCTGCTGTTGCTGTTGTTGTTGCTGTTGTTGCTGCTGCTCCTCCACCTCCTCCCCCTCCTCCTGCTGCTGCTGCTTCTGCTGCCGGCGCTGGTGCACCTGCTCGTGTGCGCTCGTCTTTGCCTTCTTCCCTCGAGGCTGCGCTCCTTGCAAGTATGCCATCACCTCTTTCTTGGAGCGGCACACACGGCCATCCGGAGAGTGGTAGTACTGCAGGGGCGTGCAACAAAAGAAAGGAAATGAGAGGGAATGAGAGGGAATGAGAGGGAATGAGAGGGATGGGGAAGAGGGAAAGCCATGGCGTGGTGTACAGCAACCACAAGGAACCGGGAAAGAAAGAAACGCCTGCAGTGGAATAAATGGCGAATAGAAGGAAATAAAGGGAACGAATAGGAAAGAACGACAGACACGGAAGTCTCCGGGTCGGGGTGCGTTTGCGTGGGTGGGGTGTAGCGGGCGCGGGAGTGGAGTGTGTTGGTTGAAGGGGACGAGCAGGGGAGGACGATGAGGGGAGGGACGGGGAGAGTTCGACCAATCGTCTGGCCTCGTCGTCACCTTGTCTTTCGTGCCAGCAGAGTTGCCTGAAATGCGCACTTTCTCAACCACGTGCCAGCCAGCAGGCAGCCAATCAGGAGCTGGCAACTCCTTTTCGGGTTTCCTCTTGACCGGCTTTTCATCCCTCCCGATGTTTCGCTCGGTCGTCGCAGCCGCTTCGCCGGCTGCAGCCGCCGCCGCCGCCGCCGTCGCCGCCGCTCCAGGACCGGAGCTCTCAGACGGAACTGGTGTTTCGGAGGCCATATATAACCTCTCCTGCTGTGATTCGACCAAAGAGCTGCTGCGTTGTCAGAACAGCGAACTATTCGTAAGGCGGAGACGACGGAAAAATGTTAGGGTAACTCGGCCACGCATACGATGGCATGGAAAAGGGGGAACCCTGCGGATTTGAGGTGGTTTCAGAGGTGGATTTCTGACTGGTTTCTTTTAGCTGACGTTTTACTGGAACGGAAGTAGGCGGGAGAAAGGTCACAGGAGGGAATTGTCAGAGGCGGGAAGAATGATGAACGATTCTTTGTAGAGTCATTCGAAAGAGGCTAAAATCTTGAACATGATGGATGTTATACGATTATGTATTTCACATAATTGTATTGCACTCAAATAGAAGAAATCGAGAGTACACATTCCCGATTTCCTCCCAAGGCACATTTTGAAGTTTGGCCATCCCACCGTCCATCCCACCAATTTGCCCATGAAACATGATCATATGCCCACTGGGAGAATCTGTCTCTGACCCAGGCGGTCAGCCTGAAACAAACTGCTGCGGAAAATTTCACGGGAAGTGCAGCGATGGGCCATGCGCGGAACGAGTCGCCCCGCCCTCCCTGGGCAAGCAGCTTGGATGCTTCCGCTGCCCTCTACCGCCGCAATACAGTACAGAACAAACGCCCGCACATCGGGAACCCCTTCCTGCCCATTCAACTTCTTGCCCCAACTTTCGCAGAGGAGTGCACCGCACCGCAACGTACCACACCGTCTCTATTCGACGACATTCTCCGCACACCTCAACAGAGCTTGAGGGCAGTTAGGTCCCTTGACAAACCGCGTCTCCATCCCTGCGCGAGATGAACAAATAGGCGCAGTTGCAGACAACTCCAAATGTAAGGATTTACAGAATCCTTACTGAGGCACTCGTTAGCGAGGCCATCCCGAGGGTCACGCGACGAACCTGTCCTTCCTATTTCGTCGCACCGAACCACTCCCGAGTCGCCTCCGCTCCAATCGCAACCATCACCGAGCCATCCTCGCCCAACCTCTCCGCCTAGCTAGGACTTCCCCTATTTAGTCGTGCCTTTCTGTTACGAGTGCAATTGAGTGGACGAACGAGAATTGCACTATCGAAGCAAGAGTCCAAATGAGCGAAGGCATGAGCGAAGAATATATAGCGAAACTACAGTGGTAACGGTAATGGACTGTGGTTGTCGTGCGACGGGCCTGGGACTGAGGTTGAGAAAAAGTGTCGAAGCGGAGGCCCGGAGCGCGGGTTATCCGCCGAGCCGTGAGGTCGGGGTGCGATGTGCGAAGGTGGCGGGCGGATTGTCGATGCGAGGGTTGCGAGTGGTAACGGTGCTGACTGTGGTGCTACAGTGATGTACGCGTTGAGCAGGGATGCGAAGTAAGGAAAAGGAATTTTCCTTACACTACCCCCCCCCCCCTAAGGAGGTCCTCCTTACGAAAGTGCATGTACATCCATGAAATTTCGGCTGCGCAGATACTCGGTGAGGACGGGGTGGTTTTCGATTCTGTCCAGGGGAACCCAATTGTCTTCGGTGGGTGTACGGTCCTTCCAGCGGAGTAAGAACTCGATCCTTCGGGCTCCTCGAGGGTCGCGAACTCTGTGACTCAGGATTTTCTCGGGGGTGATGATTGGTTCAGTTGGTGGTCTTGTCATGCTGGCCGGGCGATTGCGTGGCAGTTGGCTCGTGGACGGGACGTAAGGGCGAAGTAGGCTGACGTGGAATGAGGGGCTGACGTACCAGTCAGCAGGGAGGAGGAGGTGGGCGGTGACGGGTGTAAGCATGTGGCTTATGCGAAATGGCCCGCAGTATCGGGGGCGGAGTTTCGGGGTGATGGGCAGTCGGAGGTTCTGAGTGTCAAGTAAGACTAAGTCGTCGGGCTGGTAAGTGACAGGTCTGCGGTGGCGGTCGGCGTTGCGTTTAGCGATGATGTTCGATTTTTTTATTGCGTCTACTGCCCGGGTTCGTGCTGCTTGTAACATTTCGGCGAACTGTTGTGCTCGTGGTACTGGGTTGTCGGGATTCGGGGTCATGGGTACTGTCGGGTCTTGTCCGTAGTGTCAAACTTATATGATCTAGCCTGTGTAGGCTGTAGCGGGTTAGATACTAAGGGGTACACAATTCTAGGGCTTCATATTTGTATCACTTTCATTCCTTAGTCAATCCATTCTCGTTCTAAGTTTCTCATGGTCTCGAGCAGGTTCCCTCGTGGGAACTGTTCCTAGGGCCCACCAAGATTTTCTTTTTTTTCCTACCCGGGGCGCGTGCCGCCCCTGCCCGAAGCGCGCCTAGTGTCGCGCCCTCCTTTTCGGCCCCTCAGGCCCCGTCGCTGCCCTCTCTAGGCCCCGCGACCGCCTCTTACGGCCCCGCGACCGCCCCTTACGGCCCCGCGACCGCCTCTTACGGCCCCGCGACCCCCCCTTACGGCCCCGTAGCCGCCCCTCACGGCCCCGCGACCGCCTCTTACGACCCCGTCGCCGCCCCTTCCGGCCCCGTCGCCGCCCCTTACGGTCCCGTCGCCGCCCCTTACGGCCCCGTTACCGCCCCTCACGGCCCCGCGACCGCCCCTTACGGCCCCGTCGCCGCCCCTTAAGGCCCCGTCGCCGCCCCTTCCGGCCCCGTCGCCGCCCCTTACGGCCCCGTCGCCGCCCCCTTTCGGCCCCGTCGCCGCCGAGCCGCGACCCCGTAGCCGCCCTTAGCGGCCCCGTCGCCGTCCCCCCTCCCCTCGGCCTCGTCGCCGCCCTTCAGCGGCCACGTCGCCGCCCCTCCGCGGCCCCGTCGCCGCCCTTCAGCGGCCCCATTGCCGCCCTTTCGCGGCCTCGTCGCCGCCCTTCAGCGGCCTCGTTGCCGCCCCTTGCGGCCCCGTCGCCGCCCTTCGCGGCCCTGCCGCCCTTCCTCGGCCCCTCAGCCGCCCTTCCCGGCCCCGTCGAGCAGCCAAGCCGCCGTCACCGCTGAGCCGCCGGGCCGCCGAGCCGCCCTTGCCGCCGTGCCGCCGAGCTGCCGAGCCGCCGAGCCGCCGAGCTGTCGAGCCGCCGAGCCGCCGAGCTGCTGAGCCGCCGAGCCGCCGAGCCGCCCTGCAGCCGAGCCGCCGAGCCGCCGAGCCGCCAAGCCGCCACGCCACCGCAGCCGAGACGCCGCAGTCCCTGCAGTCGCGGCCCTGTCCCTGCCGGCCTGCCTCGACCCGCCCCACCTGCCTGGTAAGAGCAGCGCCTCTGCCACTGCACTGCCCTACCCCGCTGCTCTCTCTGCCAGTCTCCTGCTGTCATGGCCACCCCCAGTGTTCTCACCTTTGACGCTGAGGGTCGGGCTGTTGACTTTGAGGTCTGGGTAGATGATCTGCAGCTTTTCCTACAGTGCGATAGGGCAGACGGTCTCTCTCTGTTTGACCTCACCTCTGGTGCCTCTCCTGCCCCTGCTGCTGATGCTGACGCCACTGTTCGCTCACAGTGGGCCACGCGCGATGCTGCTGCTCGCCTTGCTGTGCGCCGCCACTTACCGACCGCTGAGCGCGCGCATTTTAGCCACTTGCTGTGCGCCGCCATTCTAGGGTTTCATATTTGTATCACTTTCATTCCTTAGTCAATCCATTCTCGTTCTAAGTTTCTCACGTAGTTTAGGTAAAATGGTGACTGTTGGGTCGTGGCGGATGGCGAGTTGTTGTACGCGAATTCGATTAGTGGTAGTTGCTGTTCCCACGTGGTCGGGTCGTCACACGTGGCCCTGATGAGCTGTTCCATGGTCTGATTTGTCCTTTCTGTTTGTCCGTCGGTTTCGGGGTGGTATGATGAACTGAACTGCAGTCGTGTGCCGAACTGCTGCCACAGGTTCCGCCAGAAGTTGCTGGTGAATTTCGTGTCGCGGTCGCTGATGATCGCGGCTGGTATCCCGTGCAGTCGAACGACGGTGGAGATGAAGAGGCGTGTTGTTTCTTCGGCTGTGATTGATTTTTTGCAGGCTGCGAAATGTGCCATTTTCGTCAGTCGATCGACGACGACCAGGATCGCGTCGTTCCCACTCGCCCCAGCTGGTAACCCCGTGACGAAGTCCATCGTAACCTGCTGCCAAGCACGCTCTGGGGGTGGTATCGGCTGCAACTGTCCCGCCGGCCGCTGTCGTGATGATTTCATGAGCTGACAAGTGGGACACGATGCCACGTGTCGTTGTACGTCGGTCAACATTTCGGGCCAGTAATAATACCGCTGCAGCTGCTGCCGTGTTTTTTCTACTCCGAAATGCCCCGAGGTAACTCCGTCGTGTGCCTCCTGTAACAGTAATTCCCGTAGCAGTGTATACCCAGGCACCCAAATGCGGTCAGTCCCGGTTTTTACGTAATAGACTCCCTTTGCTGCTGCGAACTGCTGCGAATTTCCTCCTGTGAAGAATGGACCCGTTTGGTACCCGTGGGTGAATAGGCCTGTCAGTAGCGGGCTTGTCTGGGCGAGTAGTATTGCGTGGATCTGGGCAGTGGGGCGGGTCAGTGCGTCGGCGATGTTCGAGGCTCCCTTTTTGTAAGTGACCGTGTAGTGAAAGTTGGACTCGAGGAAATCGAGCCAGCGAATCTGTCGTGGGTTGAGGTGTGGCTGTGCGCGAAGGTACTGTAGTGATTTATGGTCTGTCCGTACTGTCACGTCCGCGCCAGTCAAGTAACAGCGCCATACTTTGAACGCGTGCACGATCGCAAGCATTTCGCGGTCGTGTATCGGGTAATTTTTCTCGGGCGGATGCAGTTTTCGTGACTCGTATGCGATAGGCTGTAGGCCATTGCCGAAATCCTGTAGCAGTACGGCTCCGATGGCGATATCGCTTGCGTCGGTAACTACTTCGAATGGGCGGTGTGGGTCGGCGATGCGCAGGACGGGCGGTGAACAGAGAACATTTTTCAGGGCAGAGAAGGCAGCATGCTCTTTCTCCCCCCACGTAAAAGCGACCCCCTTCCGCAGTAAATCCGTCAGTGGGGCAGTTAACCGTGCCATATCGGGGACGAACCGACGCACATAATTAACGAACCCTAAAAAGCTCTGCAGCTCCGTGATGTTCGTCGGGGGATGCCACGCTTTTACCGTATCCAGCTTTTTTGGGTCGATTTCAACTCCAGCCTCCGAAATAACGTGCCCCAAAAATTCTAACCTATCCTGGAAGAACTCGCACTTGGAACCCTTGGTCAGTAATCTGTGCTCGTCTAAAACCTTAAACACTGCTTCCAGATCTGCTAAGTGCTGCTGCTTATCCCGACTGTACACTAGGATGTCGTCGAGGTAAACTATTACACATTTATCTAAGAGCGGCATAAATGCCTCCTTCATGGTCATCTGAAAAGTCGCCGGTGCGTTGGTCAGCCCGAATGGCATCACAGTGTACTCGAACGACCCGTACCTAGTCCTGAAAGCTGTTTTGGCGCAGTCCGATGGTTCGACCCTAATCTGATGGTAACCTCCCCGTAAATCTATTTTCGAAAAAACCCGTGCTGTTC